CCTGCCGTGTATCACGCCTTGCTGGCTACAGAACCCATCACTGGAATGGCCCTGATAAAGGTAATAACCACCTATCCCATCTTGGGGTGGGTACGAGAGTGGACCCAAAAGCCAAAGAGTGGTGTGGCACAAACCCCACACTGGCCAAGTGGGGTGCTTACCTACAGCAGCATAGTGTCCTTCTAATAGCCCCTTGAGTGAAGAACTGCAACGCTTATTGGGGCCAGTGACATATACTAGTGAAAAGCAGGAAGAACTTGCTTTTGAACCATTAGTAGCAGAGAGTCCCTATTGGGAGGGAGGAGCCCCTATACCCGAAGACGCATGGTACACAGAGAGCTCCAGCCATGGGCAGCCCCCAAAATGGAGGGCCATAGCTTTCCATCCTAAGACTGAGACAATATGGATGGAAGATGGTGAGGGGAAGAGCAGTCAATGGGCAGAGTCGTGGGCAGTGTGGTTTGTGATCAGCCAGGAGCCCTCCCGAATAGTTTTCTGCACTGACAGCTGGGCTGTCTATCAGGGTTTGACCCTGTGGTTACCAACCTGGCACCATGCCAACTGGCTGGTTGGTTACCAATGCCTTTGGGGACAAGAATTGTGGCAAGACTTGTGGGCCTGTGGTCAGACTAAAATAATTACAGTATACCATGTGACAGGTCATTTGCCACTGGCATCCCCAGTAAATGATGAAGCAGATAAATTGGCCCAGATACATTGGTAAGAAGGAAAGCTTGCCTCTGATGTAGCCCAATGGTTACATCAGCATTTGTTGCACGCACGGCAAAAGACAATGTGGGCTGTAGTCCATCAGTGGGGCCTGCCTTAGACCTTTGAAGAAGTTAGTAGAGCCCGGCAGGAGTGTGTTGTGTGCTCCAAAAGGGACTTGCAGGGAGTTCCACAGCAACCTGGGACAATAGCTAAGGGGCCTATACCCCTCGTCAGGTGGCAGATAGACTATATTGGGCCTCCACCTGTGTCAGAAGGATATCGGTATGCCATGACTTGTGTGGACACAGCTACTGGACTTCTGGTTGCTTTTCCTACCCGCTGTGCAGACCAGCAGATGACCAAAAGAGGCCTGGAGCGTCTCTTTGCCGCCTATGGACAACCACAGGTAATTGAGAGTGATCAGGGCACCCATTTTACTGGACATACACTGCAAGAATGGGTATGACAGCTGGGAATCAAGTGGAAGTTTCATGTGCCATACAACCTACCGCAGCAGGCATGACAGAGAGACACAATGGCTTGTTAAAATCCAGACTAATGTCAGATACCAACAGTCTGCAGGAATGATCAGTCTGCTTATAGACTATGCTACGGTGTTTGAACGAGAGACCCCAAAAGGGAGCCCTGAGCCCCGTAGACATGTTAACACATATGGCTGCCTCCCCTATACAACTGCAGGTACAAACCAAGGAGGAATCACTGAAGCCGAGGTTCAGCCACCAGAATAATATCTTCCTGCCAGCACCAACTACACTGAACTCCAGAGACTCCATTGAGTGGACAAGGCCTTGGACCTTTCAACACATGGACCAATGATGGCTGGCTCTCCTGGCACGCTGGGGACAAGTCCTGGAAGCTGGCCTCCTGTGTATTCCTGGAATAACAGCAGTGGCCCCCAAAGGTCACAGTAGTATATCCTGAATGGTCAGAAGATAGGAGCATCTTACTGGAGAGTTTTGTTTTATCATTATGGCCAGGGCATGCACCTGCAGTAGCACTATATATAGACCCTTCAGTAACCCCTACGGGGAAAGGAGTAAAAGTATGGTATACTAGACCTGGAAGGGACCCTCTTCATGCTACAGTCCTATCACAGGACCATTCTCTTGCATGCATCCTACCTGATGAACAAGATTTGCCTATGCTGGTGTCATTAAAACATGTGTCTTATCACCCCTAAGGTCTTTGTGAATTGGGAACTTCCTCTGGCTTGAGGATTATTATAATTTTTGTTATTAGCAACCTCCTCCAGCTTGAGGATTATTAAAATTTTTGTTACCTGTATCAAAATCTTGTATCTTAATTTTTGTTATTATCTCTAAGTTGTTGTTATCCTCTGTTGCTGTTTCTGGTTACAGTGCTCCAGCTTTCTTGCACAGGGAACATGCGGAAGATTGAAAGCGTGTAGATTGTAAGGCGAGAAACCTGGAGGGGTGGAGTATGGGTTAGTTGGGGTTCCTATGGCCAGGATCCTCACTGAACTTAACCCACCTGATGATGTAACTGGCCTGTTGCTAGGCTACCAGTTCCACACCTTTAGGCAATAAGCTATTATTGCACTATATATAGAGCTCGGCCCAGTGCTTTGGGCGGAGGCAGAAACGTTAGTGCTCAACAGACCACCAGGAGAACAAGCCAGGTAACAAACCCTTTCACCCCAAAGAACATTTCACTGTCAATTTCTCTGGTCACATTTAATCCATAGCAAACTTGCCTGGGGCTGAAACCCATTGGCAAGACACCCTTACAAGAGAAAGGCAAGAGAGATTTGAGACACAGAAGTACAGAGAAGACTGCCATGGGAATACAGAGACTGAAGTTTGCTGCATAAGCCAAGAAATGCCAGGACACTGGAAGCTGGAAGAAGCAAAGAAGGACTCCCCCAGAGCCCTCAGAGGAAGCACAACCGTGTCAAACCTTGCTTTCAGACTTATCTCTAAAACCATAAGAGAATAAATTTCTCTTGTTTTAAGACACCAAGTTTGTGGTAATGCATTCCAGCAACCCTCGGAAACTAACACAAATGATAGAATCACTTTGTAAAATTGTTTAGCAGTTTCTTTTAAAGCTGAATAGCCTCTCTGATTAGAAGACTACTATTATGATTCAGTAGTTGGACTCCTGCATATTCATCCAATAGAAATGAAAACAAAGACTTATTTATATATGAATGATCCTAACAACTTTTTTCATTATAGCCTAAAACCAGAATCCAAATGTTCAGCAACAGGTGAATGAATAAACAATGTGTGGTAGATTCACACAGTAAACTATTACTCAGCAATAAAAAGGAATGAACTATTGATACACACAACGGCAAGAATAAATCTCAGAAAACCATCATGCTGAGTGAAAACAGATGCCTGAGGACATACAGTATGCTTCCATTTATAAGAAATTCTAGAAAATACAGTTTCATCTACAGTAAAAGGAAACATTATCAGTGGTTGCTTGGGAGCCAGAGTTGGGGTTAGAGATTGACCGCAAATCAGAAAAAGGAAATTTATGGAGGGGATCGAAATATTCTGTCTGAACTGTAGTGGTGCTTTCACAGGTGTATACATCTTTTAAAGCTCATCAAATTGTAAACTATAAATGGATGAAAATTATTTTACGTAAATTTATATACCTCAATAAAGTTCAACAGAAAACAAGAAAATAATTCATGAGTAATTGAACATTTTCTATCTAAGACTTAAAGCTTCATTGCCTTTTTTCTGGCCGATATTTCATAAACAAATTCTAAATAAAGATCAAAAAATCTTTTAAGTAAACAGGAAGACAATTCAACATGTTTCACAAACATGATGAAAATGTAAAAAAGCTTTGGTGTCAGAAGATCTGTTTCTGAGCCCTAGTTCCACACAGCAACTAAGTGGCTATGAGCAAGTCATGACTTCAACAAGCCTTGCTTTCCACATGTGGATGACATTAATAACTACCTCACAGGCAATGGTTATGGTTTCAATAGAGCAAAAGCTCCTTTGTGCAAGAATTCTCTCTCGGCCAAATCATAATCTCAGGATCTGGCAAATGATAAGCGCTAAATAAATCTTTACATTATAAATAACTTTAAATGTAAACTCAAAAGATGAGAAAGGCGTCAGGCACAATGCCATTGGGTGACATTTACTTGTTTCTTTGCACTGTTAATAGACTAATGCAGAAAGATCTTCCCCCTTTGAACCCATCTTGAGTACAATGTCCATGTTATATGCAGACTAAAGCATGGGAACTTCACATTGCTGGTAAAACCTTACTATACCTCAGGTCATCATGCAGCAGATGTTCTATTTTAAATTCAGAGAGGTATTGCGCTAAGACAAACTTTGCATTTTGAAAAGATCACACTCCACAGTGTGGGGGAAGAGACTGGCAGCATGGGAGGAAGGGGGGAGGGAGACAAAGGAGTGGTAGGATGTAGAGTGAGTGTAAACAAATAAGGAGACTATTGGAACAATCCATTAGAGAAATAATGGTAGCTGGGTCAAAGGTGGTGGAGATGGAAAAAAGCAGACATATTACCAATATATTTGGACAAATCAATAGGACTTGATTTGGGGAGAGAAAGGAAAGCATTCAATTCTTCTGAGCCTCAAGTCTTCATCCATATAACAGAACTGTTGATAATCCATCTGTGTAATATCTATCTTGCAATCTACTGTGGTAAGAAACAATATAAGTATTAACTTAATGCAGAGCCTGACACATAAAAAATGCTAGAAAAAAACTATCGCTATTACTATTGTCATCCCATGAAATGACAATTATCAGAGGCTGAACCCTAATGGTAGAAAATAGGCTTGTAGTTAAAGATTTATATCCACTGTGCTAGAGACATAAAACATACCAGGTGGCCACCGTTCCAAATAAACACATCTGACCGCACAAGTATTTCATCTAAACTAATCTCAGTCCTCAGAAACCGTTACCGAAGAGAAAGCACAACCGGTATGATCACAGTCATCTATGAGCCCAGCAAACTGGGCACCAGGGTAGCTACAAATTTAACCACGCAACAGGGTGCGGAAACAAGACAAGAAAATGGGTGTTTTGATTCTCGTTTGTGAGGGGATCCAATAGCACTAGGCCTGCATCCTGAGCAGCACGTATTATAACCCCCAAAGTCTGGCTCATTTGCTGACAAGGCCTTGTCATATCTTGGATTAAGACCGTGCGTCGGCTGGCCATGCAACCAAGCCCTTCCGGTTCCCTGACCTTAGCTAAAAGTGCACGTTAGATGCCAGCCTCCTGAGAGCCGGCCATACCTTAGCTTCACGCTCGCGTTCCTCGGCGGTCGGGGTCCGCTTCATGCTGCCGCTGTAGCCGCCTTCGCCACTGCTAGCCGCGTAGAAGTCTCGCCGTGGACCCCGCCCCCTGCATGTAGTTCTCTCGGTGTCCTGCTCTCGCCTGGCGCCATTCTCCCTCAGAGCCACGAGAACTACCACTCCCAGGATGCACGGCGCGACTTCCGAGAGTGCCTCGAGTTGGGAGCGCAAGAATTTCCCAGGTCCAACAGCGGGGCGCGCGTAGTCCGCTACGAAGCGAGCGAGCAGGCTAGGACCCGAGGAAAACTACATTTCCCGCGAGGCAATGGGGCCTGCCATGTTTTCCCCGTGTGCCTCTGGGCCAGCGGCCCAACAAGCTGTCGGCGCTATAGCAACGGTAGCTAGCGGCTGAGAGAGAGTGGTGGTGAGTACTCCAGGGGAGGCCAGGGGGATGGAAGTGGCCGACCCTCTACCTGCAGCGTGGGCCGGGGTCCTGGGGTCCGCTCTATGGCCTGGAGAAGGCCCTGCAGTTCTGCTCGCGTGAAAAGCAACCCAGCACGAGACACCTCTACATCCTTAGGCCTGAATCACAGCCCGCCCATAACCCCACGCCCAGCACGGTTTGAAATTTATATCCCAGCCCTAAACCCTAGCTGATGAGAGTTGATGCTACTTGCCTTGCGCGTTCAAGTCATTTTTCTAGTAGAAAGTTACATAAACAGTTTGCTCATTTGCCCTGGGTTAGAAGTTGGTTGATAGACCCGTCAGCCACCTGAGTTTGGCCAATTGTTTAAGCAATTATTTTTATTTATTTATCATCTGATTCCCTCATAGCCTATTAACTACATAAAGGTGGGGATTTTGTTTACTATTTTGTCTCAGCGCTAGGTATTCATTTATTCATTCAATAAATAAAGATGTTGGTGCCCACCAGGTGCTGTGCCCGATCTGCCATAAACAGGTCTGATACCCATCTCAAAATACTTTATTAGGAGACAAACTAGTAATGAATTCTAAGATAAATATATATTATATTATGTGCCCATATAATCTATGCAAATAAACAAGTAAGATGATTTCAGGTAGATAATTTCACCTTTTGAGCAGTGCTGGAAATGGAAGAGGACTCTAACATGGGATAATGAGGGAAGACATTTCTGAGGAAGTGACATTTGAGCTGAGCTCCAAAGAATGAGAAGCCAGCTAATGCAGAGACCTTGAGGAGGACCAGGGTACCATGGATTTGAGGAACGTAAAGGAGAACTGTGTGAGTGGGGCATAGTGAGCAAGGAGGGATAACATAATGCGGTGTTAGAGGGGCTTTGCAGTATTGTGCATGGTTTCTCAGCCTTGGCACTATCAGTGTTTGGGGCCAGATAATTCTTTGCTGTGCTTCTTGTGCACTGTAGGACATTTAGCGTCATCTGTGCTTCTAGATGCCGTAACATGCCCCCCACCCTCCTTCCAGTTGCGACAATCAAAAAAGGACCAGACAACTTACCTAAGCCATGTCTCAGTTTCTTCAGTTGTTAAGTAGGAATTTTTTAAGTAACAACCTCACTAGACTTGTGATATGTTTGATTAACTTATATGAGCAGAGCACTTAAAAGAGTGCTTGGCACATGTTAGTCATTCAATGAATGTTAAGACCAGCATCATCATTATTGTTATTACTGTAAAAGCTATCATAACTCTGTCATGGAAAAGTTGTCATTTTCATGTGTGTCCTATGTTTAAACTTCTTGATAATTTGGTTCCTAAAATTGACCTTTTCTGTGGCAGTATCTCCAGAAACAGTTGATGATCACCCAGGCATATGTCTGTTAGCTGTTTATGTCACAGCAAAATGCAGTGGTTCTCAGCCTTTGATGAGTTATAGTAAAAGTTATGAAGCCTCTCCCTAAAAGATATTGCATATTCACATATACATACATGATTCTGTAAACCATTTCTGGGGCCACGGACCCTGAAGCCCCATAGACACTATTCATTCTACAACCATTTAGTAAATATCTGCTATGCACAGAGCTCTGTGCTAGCCTCTGAGTATACAGAGGTGAACAAAACAATTAAGCCTGCTACTCTCTTGACTTTACATTCTAGGATCAACATTCTAGAGATTGAGAACCTCTGCCTTAGGGCATCTTTATTGGTAGTTTGTATTTGGCTTTTTGAGTAGATTGAAATGAAAAAATAAAACCTTTTTTTTTTTTGCATGCTAGACATTGCATGGACTGCTTACATCCACATACAAAACTGAGTTACTATTTTTGTCAGCAATAGAAACTGTAAAAATGGCACAATTAGCTCAACCGTCTGTATATTGAGGTAGGAAGCCCCAGGACTAAACCTCATGGCAACAAAGACAGGACAGGACAAAAAGAAAAACCCAGTTGATGAGTTTACCTCTGTCACACAGCTTGGAACTACCCACTCATTTGTGCATCATGCTGAAAATTAATATTCAGGTAATATTGACATCTTAGGAAAATGTACTTAAGTGTTTTTGATTTACCAAATCACTTACCCTTAGAATAACTCTGTGAGATAGGTTTATTTTCTCCACTTTTTAAAACTAAAACTAAGTGAGATTAGGTGTCTTGGCCAGCTAGTATGTAATAGAACAACCATTTGAATCAACTTCCTGATGAGTTTTTCCAAAATACCTACTCTCTTTGGGGAGCAGGGGAGGGGATGGGGGATGGAAAAGGAGGTATTTCTTAAATTTTGTTTTTGTTTCAGATAGAGGAATAAGAAGAAGAGAGGAGGAAGAATGATAATCTTACCTCATTTCCTAAGCAAACTATAGGAGATATACTGTTGAAAGGAATACTGTCTCCATGATTGAATGTAGTATTACTTTTAAAATAGAAGCTTTCATCTTCTTCAAGCAGCACATGTGGGCAATAAGATGTCCATTAAAGTTCTCATGACTTACTTATTTTATTTGGTTCATTCCATTACATAGTTAACTTTATAACTTGAAGTTTATTTGAATTTTCTTTTCTCCATAGATAGGCCATGTCTGGTCCAACTGATGAGACTGCAGGAGACCTGCCTGTGAAAGATATAGGTCTAAACCTCTTTGGAATGGGAGGGTTACAAGGTATGGCCAGCTGTTACTTATTATAGTTATATAAACTTTGATCAGTAACTTCCTTTCTTTCAATTTAAAATATTTCTGATATTCATACAAACAAAGCCATTTAAGTAACTATATAGCTTTTGATTGGACTAAATATGAAAATGGAGTTTAGAACAACATATGGTATTTTACCACATGCAGCAATTATCAACAGCTCATAGAAAATGTAAAATCCCCCTCAGTTCTGATAAAGAATTGTTATAAATCATCTTCTTAAAATTCCATACATCAGTAGAAACAACACAGAGCCTCCAAACTGAATTGCCTGGTTTAAATCACACTCACCATTAAAATGTTTCTTTATGTTAAAATTTTATGTGGGAGGAAATGCCATATTTAAAAATATTTGCCTTTCAAGTAGAATATCTGAAAATGATTTGTTTATCCAAGTGATGTTGACTTTGTTTTATCAAATTAATATATATTAAAGGTGTTCTTTATCCTTTTATCACCCTGTTGGTTGCTATAGAGGTAAAAAGCACTTCCAAACTGAGAAAGAAAAGTGCTGCTTTAAGGAGCAATTTAGAGTGTAGAGTATGTTTTTGTTTTTGTCTATAATGTCAGCCATGCTGTCATGCCACTGCATTTGTCATAGAGTAGGCTATGGTGTAAAATATACTCCACTAAGGCATCTTCACACACCTGTTTATCAGAACAGTACAAGTGGCCACCTTGAACTACCACCAAAAGGTGGTTGAAGTATTGTTCATTTAAAAAGATAAATTTGACTATAAAACTTTTATTGTTAAATGTAAAAAGTATATATAAGCTTTGTTTTAGATCTTTGGCAGAGTATCAAGGATTCAAGTACAAAAAGAACTTTAAGTGTATACAGCTATTGATTGGAGTTTCGTACCCTCAGTTCAGTTCTTCCTTTCATATCCTACCACAGGGCTTTAATCTTTGTCCATTTGTTCTTTCTTGTGGAGGATTGTGGGAAGTCGACCTACTTTGGTATGAACTATACCGAATTTAAGCATATTTTTTAAAATATGTGTACATGCTAAAAGATGTAAAAGTTCTTTAAAAATATATAAGATAACTTATATTGTAAAGGTGTTTTTTTTGGTTTGGCCTTGCAACAGAAAATTATCTCAGCTATATTATGTTCACCAAATTATTGTTATAACTTTTGCCTTTGTAAAAAAAAAAGTGCTTTCAGATAGTCTTAATTTAGTTTTTTCAACATTAGGCATGTAAATTGAGAAGTCTTTATTGACTCAATTCCATCTTACATTCTTAAAGAAAGGTTATTCAAATACATTTTTGAATACATACTAATTGTTGCCCAAATCCTTAATATAGCGTATTCATAGCAAAGATTCTTAATTTAGTTTTTTCAACATTAGGCATGTAAATTGAGAAGTCTTTATTGACTCAATTCCATCTTACATTCTTAAAGAAAGGTTATTCAAATACATTTTTGAATACATACTAATTGTTGCCCAAATCCTTAATATAGCGTATTCATAGCAAAGATGTTTATTCTCACTTCCAATCAGTGATGTGAACAGTGCCAAGGTATTTTTCTAAAGCCATCTTAATTGTAAGTCACAAATGAGAAAAATATGAGATGAGTGCATCAGAGATTATGTTAATATCAACAGTTATCATTTTGAGAGACTATTTTAAGTAACCCCACTATTAATTACTTTGGCATTTTTGCAGAAACTTCAACGACACGGACAATGAAATCTCGCCAGGCAGTGTCACGTATCAGTCGTGAGGAACTGGAAGACAGATTTTTGCGTTTGCAAGATGAGAACATTTTACTTAAACAGCATGGCCACAAGCAACAGGATAAAATTAAAAGGTTATGACAGAAAGCTTTTAGCTTTTTTTCCCTGACTCTGTAAAGTTTGGAGGGTATGCTTTTTTATAAACTTAATTGAAAACCCCACCTTGAATCTTTTTTGGAACAAGGCAGCTTGTGAATAAATACAATTTTTAAAAATGGAAAATCTTACAAACTAAAATAATAAGCCAAAAAGGATTATGAGTGCTTATTATGTCTGAAGTTGCTATTTGGGAAAAAAAAAGCTAATAGCTAAGAGTGCCATGAGTGTATCATATCTATAAATAATTTCTGTTTTAATATTTACAGCTTAATAAGCAAATGGTGAAAGCATGTGTTTTTTTAAATCTTGATTTTAAAATAAAAGTTTTTAAAAGTTAGACCTATTCTAACTTGTTAGAATGCATGTTTCCTTAAGATTTGGGGTTTACTAATGAAAACATCACTCAGTATCCGGAATATATGTAACTTTTCTTTTTAGATTAGTCTAGAATCTATATTTATTTCAAAGAGTATACTCTGAAGAAACATTGTCAGTTTTTATTGGTGTGCAAAAAAATTTCTGTAGGGATAATTTCTTAACAGTAGATATTCTTTAATTCTTTCTTGTTCAGAAATACTATGACTATTCTGAATGTGTGGCATTAAAAACAAAAGTGTGCATTCACGTTTGTGAGTATGAACAGGTCTGTATTCATACTCATGTATTAGGTTCAATGAAAAGGTGAATCAGCCAGTAGAGAAAGAAGATAGGGGTTTTTTTCTGCTTAAAATTTATCCTAAAGGGGCGATTCCAGTGCAATTTCTACTCTGTGGACTTGTTTTAATGACCCACAGACCCGCTGTATGCAGGCCTTATTTGAGTTAGTTTTTGAGTCACAATGATGGTTTTTTTCAAGACATGTGACTCACTTGCCTGATTCCTTTTCTGACCAGTAATACATGTCAGCTTTTCAGAATGAGGCATGTATTCCATGACCACTAAACAGTTTTTTCTCTGTAAGCCTAATTGGTCAGTAAAAGAATTGAATTCACAACCTTCACCTCATTAGCAATTTGTTCCTAGCCAGAAAATATAAAACGACTTCATAATGAACCATGTTGTTTAATGGAAAAAGGACTGGGCTAGGAGTCAAGTTGTTTGCAAGTGTTCTGTTATCTGTCTCTAGCCTATGGTATGTTTAAGCCATTTAACCTCCTGGGGTTTTATTTTACTAAACCCTGAGAGTAGTGACCCAATGGTCGCTATGACCCAAAACTCTAAATTCCTTCTCAGCTTCACACCACTGTCACTACCTTATACATGGGTAGAATTGCCTTTAAATTTATTCTTAAGATGTAATTAGTATCACTTAAATATAACTATAGATTTGATAAACCACGTTTTTAAATAAGTACTCAAAGTTTACCAGATCACTGAGTATTTAAGATCATAAAGATCACTTAGGATTCATTAAGATCATAGAGTAATCTAATCAAACAAGTGAAAATTATTGCTATTACTAGACAACCACATGCAATCTTATATTTCTTAACAAAGTTTACCTGAACATTATTGAAGGAATTTAAAGCCACTCTACTGATGTGCTTTTCTCGCCTTAGAAATTAGGGTTATTTAGTTTTCTCTAGCTTGACTGCTTTTTCATATTAAATCTGTGCCTTTCTTTTCAATGTAATCTCTATGTCTGTGTGAAAGACTGTGTAACAGAAGATTCAGCTATTTAGGTTGACATCTCATTTAGACAGCTAACCGTTCCCTGGATAAGCCATTGGATAGGGCTCAGGAACCCAAACTCATTAAAGGGCCATTTAGAGTACGTGGCTCTGCTAGGGTATGATACCTGCCCCAAATTTCCCAATAATAAATCATTCTCTGGATTAGGTGGAAAAGGAATTAATCCATTGATTATTTTACTAGGGTGTTTGTGGTACTTTGGGATCTTGGTTTTTATTATCCTGTATCCCTTATAAAGCATGTTTAATGGATTTACCTCAAGGGAAAGAGAAAACAATCTTAACTGATCATGTTATGCATAGCTCTCCCTGATGCCGCATGCTGTAGGCCGAGTAGCCAGAAGTGTAGATAGACATGTATTACTTCCGCTTTTACAGAAGACTCTGCTCAGGGCAAAAAAAAAGTTGTTCAATGACATCCCAAAGCTATTAAGGATTTTTTTATTTCACTTTTGTTCTCTTAAGTAAAAGCTTCTGTCCATAACCATGCTAAAATAAAGCAAACCCCATTTAAAGAAAAATGAAGTGAGTTTTTATTTTCAATCTCCTGTCTGGGTCTTTATAAAAATAGATTCACTATAAACTAGAATCAGTTATTGAAGATGTGCGACCAATTTTGTAAAGTCTTGAACTTGTGTATCTCATCAAAGCCACCTTTTCTTTCTTGTCCTGCCAAGATTTTTCCATTCACTGTCAGGCATGTTTTCTGTATGTGTATATTACATCACCCCCATGTGCCCTTTCTGTCTTTTGTTCTGTCTAACCAGTTTTTATCAAAACTTAAAAGAATCAAAGGTATAAACTCCTGAGATGTCAAAAGCACAATTTATTTCTGAACATAAAGCTAGCATTAAATAATACTTTTTGCATCTAATTATTTTCTACCGTTATACATGCATGTTTCTTGAGCACTAAGCAATATTTAATGGCACGTTTTGGTTTCTTTAAAATGTTTCATTGTGCTTCTTATATGTCTGTGCATTCTAACATTTTTATATTTGTAGCATGTTGTCATTCTAGAGAAACTGAAAACAGCTCACCTAAAACATATCAGCTAAATGCTGCATAGTCTTAACACACTTTTCAAAAGTTTTAACTTACTGTGGCTTGCAGATATAACCCACCACATCCACAATCTGTAGCTCCATTTAAGTGCATACAGCATTCCTACATAAGGTCATGCGTTAAAAATTGCATTTGAGGAACATATGGAGTAAATATGTGTCTTCTCTTTACTAACCTTAAATGATAAGCCTTAGGAAACTGTTATTTGTCAGTGCTATAAAGCAGATTGTTGCCCAGTGGTTTCAATTATCATCAAAGGATTCTTCACAGGCAGTAATAGTTACATCAAAACCTGAAATTTATTATTCAGGTTCTGCACTGAAGTCTTCACAGTGATTATGTTCCTTTCAACAGAATGCATTTTATGCTGACTTCTCACATTCCTTTTCATCTTTTTATTATTTCCCTAGAATGGCCACCAAGTTAATACGGCTAGTTAATGACAAGAAAAGATATGAGCAGGTTGGTGGCGGCCCCAAGCGGCTGGGACGAGATGTAGAAATGGAAGAAATGATTGAGCAGCTGCAAGACAAAGTTCATGAGCTTGAAAGACAAAATGAAATCCTCAGAAACAGACTAATTTCAGCCAAACAGCAACTTCAAATCCAGGGATACAGGCAAACTCCATACAATTATGTGCAGTCTCGTGTTAACACTGGACGTAGAAAAGCAAATGAAAATGCAGGCTTACAGGAATGCACCAGGAAAGGTAAAATAAAGCTTACATTAGATCCTGAATTTAAATCTTAGTATTTTAATATGTTGTTTTACACATACACACAGAGTATTTTCTGTATTATTCATGTTTTTAAATGTCCTTAGAAAAATAGAAAAATATTTTTGACAAAATATTAATATGAAAATTATTTTACTTAAGAATCATAAATCATGCTTAAATTTATTTAGTTTAAACATTGAACATAATTATTTATCATAACAGATGAGAGACTTGTATGAACCTGTGTAAAATATGAGTTTAGTGCAAGTTGGTTAACTTCAGATTACAGATAGAAACCAAATTGACTCAGGCAAATGGGGAAACCAGATGGTTGCTTATATATGATCATACTTATTATTTTGAATGCTCACATTTAAGTTCTTTATCAAAAGACTTTTTTTTTTAATTTCCGTATTTTTGTAATCTTTCTCATTACATCGAGGCAGCACAAACAATGGAATGTGCACTTGAGTAGGGGCTTAAAAATTTGGGTTCTTGCTCCTTTACTTACTACTTAGCAATCATGGACAAGTCTCTCTCATTCTGAACTTTACATGTAAAGTGAAAGGATTTAAGTAAATGACCAAAAAGATCTGTTCCATCTCCAAAAATGGTCATAGGTTAACCACTCATTTTGAAAATGAATCCCCTAAAATCTACTCAGATGACAAAGCAAGCCAGTTGCATACACAAGACTCAGTATAGAAAGAACTTAAATATTTCTAATAAAAATTCCCAAGCCTCTCTACCCACAGACAAACTTTATTTATAATGAAGCAAAAGGTCAGTATTTTAAGGAACACTTTCTTAATTTCAACTGCTGGGGAGGAAATTTAATTTGAGCTTTAGTTGATCTTCGTTTGGAATATGCTTTTCAAAAACACCAAACATTTTTAGAGACATAAAAAAGTCATGTAAAGCTTCCATTTCAATTCACTGAGGAATTAAAAAACACCTTATGAACAGAAAGTGAGAAAAATTTGTTCTATTTTTTTCTCAAAGCCAAAATGTTAACACTATCTGTTCCCTAGCCAATGTGCCTTTGAAGTCAGTAAGGCAGGCCTCCACAGAGACAGGAGGCAGCCGCAGGATGAAAGGACTTGGCTGCTCCTAGCTATGTGAGATTAACAATAGACTTTGAATATAACCAAAGCAATCATAATCATATATAAATCAGAAAACCCATTCTACTTTTTTACATAGAACAGAACATAACCTCTCAGAGCCCCATTTTCTCCACCTGTAAAATGGAGTGCTAACACCAGATTTAAAAAGAGGTCAGGAGATATTTGCTCCACAGTAATATATTTTACCTTTAAAAAATTTCTTATCCTTTCTGAAACTTGGTTTTGTCATCTGTACCCATACCTGGTCAGGATATCTCTAAGGTCTGCAAGGTCTTTTATGCTAAATAAAAACAATGCCTAAATTTCAGATTAACATTGTAAGCTAACCTAGTGCTATGAATTGCTATTTAAATAGAAGAGTTTGGTGGAAGTTTCTCCCTACAGGAAAAAAAAAAAGAGCCACAGAGCACTAGAGTCTTTTAAAAATGTGACTACCTAGTTTTTCTCCTTGTGTTTGTATTACTCTACGTAATTCAGACCTTTTTCACTGGTTGGTACAAGAATATAGAAGCTGCACAAAGCATTAAATAGTGATGAATACTTTCTTCACCACTATCTTTCTGAGTAAACTTGAGGCATCATTATCAAGATTGATACCTTAGTAACCTTAATAAATTCTTTAAGACCACCTTTGAAGCTGGAACTTAGGCCAGACTTGTCAGAAATATCAAGACTGGATTAGCTAGGTGAGAATCCCAGACCCTCTCTGGCCACAAGCGGCCTTACCCCCAAGCTGCTATATACATATTATAGTTTTCTATCTGTGCCATGTGAGGATAAAGGATGTCATCAATGTAATGTAGAAGCAAATCTTACATTGAAGAACCAATAGAACAAAGATTTTTACAAAGTGTACATGTTTTAAAATATAACCATTAGCAAACTACCATGAGACTATCAGTTTTAAGATATGTTTTGAGTGTTTTTTTTTTAAATTCTACTGGTAATGTTTAGTTTTTCCATGAGTTATATAGAAAAAGCTTAAGAATTAGCATTACTCCCAAGTAATATAATTGGCAAATTAATTAAATTAGTTATATTAACACAGTGAACTATTTTAATGTTTTAGGCAGAGCCTTTTCTGTTCTTTTAGTGTGAGTTACAGCAATAGATATTTAATTTGAAAGTCTTGAAAATAATGAGTCATAGTTCCATTATTCTTATTAAAATCCTCACTTTGAAAAAGTAAACTTTTCTTAAAAGAATGAATATATTCTGTATCTTTTTATCTGGGACTATGCTCCATTTAAAGAAATCTAAATTATTTGTCATTTTTTATCTACCTTAAACTAATAATTTATTCTGTAAGTGTAAAGTCACTCGTATAATTAAAAGTATGTCTCACTTGTAACAGTGGGACCAGGCATATAAAATTGCATGTAACTGTATTTATTTAAAAAACTGTATTTTAAGTGCAGCAGCAAAATGTTTTATTTAAGGAATCCTTTTAATGATCCCTTCTCAAATTACCTTTGTTTAAATATGTATTTTCTTGTTGAGGTGAAATAAGCTAAAGTAGAAGAAACATTTTGGCTTACACTCACAGTATCTATGAGTCACACAAATGAAGACAAAGCTAAAAATGTAAGGTCAAGCGATTTGAATGAATTTAAAAATTTTTAAATATCAAAAATAAGAAAAAACATTAAGCTTTTGAAACCACTGCCCTTCGTACTCTGGTTTGTATTATAAATACCTGAATTGAAGACTGGTTCTTTCAGAAATTACTTTAGGAGTTCTAATTCTAAATTGAATCAAATTATTTCTAGGTAATTTGGTTTCCGTAGTAGAATTTGTTAAATGGGCAATACTTGCTGCTATGTTTTATTTAATGTCAACTGATGGCTATGATCTAATAGTCCCTTTAGCAACATATTTCTAATTCTCTGTACTATAAAGCACATATCTTTCAGTACTTAAAAAATTTTATGGTATTGCAGATTTCCTTATGATAGCAAATCAAGGTTCCTTCTTTTCTAACTTCACTTACATAATCTTATTAATTTATTTTTAGGTATTAGATTCCAAGATGTAGCAGAAACTCTACAACCCATGCTCACAAAATACAGCAGCAGTTTACTTGAGGAAGCGAAAGGAGAAATAAGAAATTTGTATGTATTCTTTTTATGGTCATTTTAGAACTTTGTTTATTGGTCATGTATTTTTTTATTCCCTCCCTTTCCTTTATTTTAAACAAAATTGGTTTATGTAAAATAATTTATTCCATTAAAATACAACTAGATCTGCGGGGTAAGAACAAATATTATATACCATGTTTCCAGTAAAATGAGGAAAATCAACAACTTAACCAACTGCATAGATGGAAGGGTTTATAGAATAGTCCTCTTTATTATTCTTTTATCTCCAAAGTAATGGCATAAAGCCCAGTTGTTTAGCATAATATAAGCTTTAGATACAACATTTTCATTCTCAGAAAAATTACAGGTAATTTTTTTTTAGATCCTGAATTAGCCTTTTTGTGGTTAAAAAAAAGAATTGGAGGGAGTGGCTTAAAAGTTTGGAGTTATCAAATACATATGGATTTCAGATTTTGTTTCAGTGTGATTCCACGGTACCACATTTTTCATCATACTGTGGTTTCAAAACAGTTACTTCTGCCACATTTAGCTTACTTTCCCAGTTAATCAGAGCCTCATGATTTCAGGGTCTGTGAGTTATATAAACTAAGATAAGGTTCAACCTTATTTACAGGACTTCACCTGGATTATCAAAAAGTAACAATTCTGAATGAGGAAAGAAAACATAAGATAGAATATCATACTCTAGATAGTTGCTTAAGAATAATATAGGCTTAAAGCTTTTTCTTTTGAGTATTTTAAATACTAGTTACAGTAGTGATTAGCCTGTGACAGGATAAAACTAAAAGACAAGACCTAATCCTATTACCTGTGAATCAGCTCAAAAGCCAGGGTTCTTACTAGTTTTTTGAGGCTCACTGTGCTGAGATGCTGCTATACATGGTAGAGTAAATATATGCACCAGACCACCAAGTTATGCTTTGCAAATTTCTTGCCATCTCTCTCTGAAGTGTTAATTTGGCTGGACAGGTAGATGTGCACATGATAGAGCAAAGGCATATACATTATCTGACTTATAATCATTACCAGATTATAGAGTACATAGTAAGTGATCAATAGATGCTTACTGAATTCAACTGAAGTGAAGTCCAATCCATGGCCTAGGATATTATCTTATAAAAAGCTATATCTTGAATTGTTATGTACTTCCCAATCATCACATTTAATCTGCTACTATTTCACTATGTGCAGAGGCACTTAAGCTAAAATTTTAACTTTTGCTCTCTCTTTATTATGAGAACCTTCTTTGTACTGATCTTAAATACTACAGATTTTTCCTGAAGCTACAAATTCTTGTAAAGTTCCTTTATTTCAGAGAAAACGTTATTCAAACACAGCGAGGCCAGATAGAAGAGTTAGAACACTTGGCTGAGATTCTGAAATCTCAGTTGAGGAGAAAAGAGAATGAAATTGAGTTATCTCTTCTTCAGCTTCGAGAGCAGCAGGCTTCAGATCAAAGGTATGTTAAAACAGAAATACCACTTTGATAAGGTCAAAATTAGTTTAAAATACTTTATCATGTGCCATAGAAGGATAAGGCTAGTTATGTAAAAATCATGTTTTACTTAACATTCTCCACATAACCCTACTCTAGACCTACTAACTGCTACCAACAGTTCTAGTCTGAGGGCATTTTTCCCTAACCTACTCTTTCTTTTGTTTCTTCTGCTTGCTCATTTGCTCCATTTACTAAAATTGTAGGAAGTTCTAATAGCATTTGATTATACCTGATGAGAGAAATATGTGTGACAAGGATGCAGCTGTTGGCATATGTTATGAATAAGTCCTGCCTTATTTAAGTTTTTTCAACCTTAAAAGGACGTAATTCCATAATATGGTACCAGTTTTTTTTATCCCAAAGCAATGTTACCCCTCTATTCAAAATTTACATGAATTCTGTTGATTGTTATGGGTAACAGTGGGGCCCTTCAGTCGTCTCCTTGATGCCTCTTCATTTTTGATATTTTATAATGTACAGTATTTCCTTTCCCATCTTCCTTTGTCATTTTTGGTTCCTAATACCTTTCCTCTTGTTTTTCGCCTCACCATTGTGATTCCAGCAAGTCTGTCTTTTTACTCTACTCTCTCTTGAATGATTTTCTTCTTTTTATGGCTTTCTTCTTTTTCCTTTTTTCTTTATGTTTGTTTGGTTTTTCTTGGACCAAGCATAGTCAAAAGTGGAGAGATCAGTGTATTGCATTCCCATGTACCCAACACTCAGCATTAACAATTATCAACATGTTACCAATCTTGTTTCACCTATCCCTTCATTTTACATTCTTCAATCAATTACACCAGCCAGATACAATGTCATCTCTACTTAAATGCTTTGGTATATGCCTCTGCCTAATAAGGAATTTTGTTCTGACATAACCACTATGCCATTAACACTCCTAACAAAATTAACAGCAATTCCAATAGCAATTGGTATCATCTAGTAAGTAGTTTCTATCAAACTTCCCTGAAGATGTCTCTCTACTGCTTGTTTGAATTGGAATCCAAATAAGGACTACACATTCCATTTGTTATATTTCTTAGGTCTCTCATCTTTCTGTCTAAATGTTTATTTTAACCAGACTTTATTTTTACCAGACTTAGATCCTCTTTTTGTTTTTCCCCTCTCCAGTTTGTGTGATATCATGCTTATGTGGTTGAGTTCTTATTTAGAAAAACCAAATATGATTTTCTAGTTTTTCATTTCAGAGTTCAATTCTCCTTTAACAAACTAACCTTACATGGAAATATTTGAAAAAACTAAGATACATAATGTGAGCTTGTTTTTAAAAAAATTAAGTGAGCTAAAAATATATATAAAAAGCTTTGTATTTATGAGATTTCAAAGATTAGTTTCTCTAATAATTTTTCTTCCTAAAAAGTTACATGTAAAATTAAATTCTATAATGAAATTCTATATTTTGTGTCATTGTCTCTACATTTATGTACCCTTCTAAGAGCAGGGCAAAAGAAACAACATTTTTGAGAATTTTATTTGTTGTAGGGGATGTCATTTGAACTCTGACTTGAACCAGCTTGAATACCTAGGAATAATCCATGTTCTCCTGGAAAGAACTGATTTAGACTTAGCCTTCCTGGAAAACCAAAATGGTTCCTTGTGAGGCACAGTGCTGACCGACCAGACCCCAACATCGACTATGGTGATCTAAGTAATTTGCCAGCAGCCATACTTAAAATATTATCTGAATATAAAAATTTTGTACTAGGCCAAGCCCAAGCCTGGAGCCCATTCCTATCAGCTTTATTCAGCAACTGTGTACAAGGTTATCAAAGTCTACTTTCTCTTTTTCTTAACCAAAGAGTAAGAGGGTCACTATGTCAGCCATTCCCTCTTCCAGGGGAATATGGTCATCTAGTAACTAGAATGTCCAGTGTAAATTGAAAGGGAGAGGAGATCTAAAAGTCCTGTAATCCTAGGGCTAGCACAGCAGAAGAAAGAGTGATAGACAGGTATGCATATTTTCTACCATAAATACTGTTGGTAAACATATACACATAGAAGAGTTTACCTTAAAAACTAAACTAAGGCCCACTTCAGAGATCTTAGTTATTATTCACTGCATAGCAGTCTATTTTTAGTTACCTCAAGAATTAGCAGTAGAGAGAAAATAAGTATTACAGGTAAAGGAACTTTTTTTTAAAGAGGCCAAAGAAATAATATGTCAGTTTGTACCCTTCCTCATTGGTTTTGTAAGATTGAAAATTACATGTTATTTGCTCAGGAGGAAGGGTACCTATAGTGAATTAGCATATTGTTTCTTGAAATACAGTTGTTGAAAACTGACTTCAAATAAGGGTCTTCAGGTCTTTTTTCTTATATGTTTATACATAACTCGAAATTTTATGTGTAACAGCAATTTTTTTGAGACTAATGGAAAACTTGAAAAAAATGTTGGGGAGAATATAAAACTTGGTATAATTTACTGTAGAGAAAAATCACAAAATGGAAAACACATTTAAACTCTTTTTCACGGATACATTATTTCAGATTGAAATTCTAGAAGTCTGATCTGGATGTTGGACTCCTTGTTCTCAAACATGAACTTAACGTAGTTGTAATCTTCAGAGTGCGGTGCTTGATATTTATGGCAAAGAGCCTTTTCATAGAATATTACAGAAACTCTTCATAGTATGTATTTAATAGACCAGTTTGGTTTGGCATCAGCTTGACATAAACTTTTGGTTATCCAAAGCCTTTAATTGCTTTGAAGTAAAAGCCCAGTGCTGCTCTTTTTTATTAAAATCATGTTTTTTCCTGTTATTGTGGTCTATTTTGGAAGACTGAGTTGTGATTTTTGCATATGTTCTACATAATGCCTCATTAGCAAAAAATCTTGTATCATTTACAAGTAGCCTGAATGTCTGTGTTGTTTTGAACAAAAATCCATATTAAAATTTAAACAATATAAAAATGCACATTTTCTGCTTATTAAAAAGGCTGTCTTAAATTAAATGCAAAGCAGCAACCAGTGAACACATGTACATGAATATTAAAATCAGAATGATTTTACCTTTTATTGACTTTTTCAACTCCAAAAATATTTATACTCTTACCAAATGTGTAACTAGTTTGTACTTTTTTTTTTTTTACGTAAATGTTAGGGTGTTTACCTTCTTAATTAAAAATCATATAAGTGCCATAATGTCCCAGTGGAGGAAATTTAACCCATAAATGTTGCAAACACTCTGACTTGTCCTCTTTGCACTGGGTGACAGCAGACTGCCAAATCTTAAATGAGAGGCCTTTTGCAGTCATGCAGTATAAGAAACAGCTTGGCTTTAGGGGCTCCATCTTTCCCCTTTGTACAGATAGAGGGTTACTTCCTGGCACTCTTAAGTTCTTCCCCAACACTCACATACCTTTGATCCGTTCGCATATTTGTGAATGACACAAGCCTGTTTTGTATTCTGCATGTTCATGCATAACCCTTCTCCCTCCATCTCCCTCCTTTCCCATCCCTTCCTACCTCCCTCTCCACCCGCATCCATGTCTCTTTCTCTTTTCTGAGAGTTAGGTGCATCTATCACTTCACTCTCTACATTTCTAATTATTCTGGGAACAAAGACATCTTCCTTCATTACCTCAGTACAAGTATCCCATTCAGGACATTTATCAATGAATGATACAGTAGAATCATCTAATACACAGTCCATCTTCAAACTTCCCAATTGACCCAATAAGTCTTTAATAGGTGCTTTTTTTAATAGCTGGTTTTGTTTTTCTTTGCCTTGTCTTGATCTAGTATCCAATCAAGGGTCATGTATTTAATTGTCATGTCTTTTAGTTTTCCTTTATTCTAGAGTGATTTCCCAGTCATTTCCAGCCCATTGATAGTTGTTTGTACAATGCCCCTCAGTCTGGATTTGTCTGATTACACATCCCCCTTTTAGAGGGCACATCTAGTTCTCAGATGGAAGGGTAACTGGGACCAGGGATAACCATGCAAACATTATGATTACTTAGGAAGATGATCTGTCATTTTTTAAAAATATATTTGCCAAGCTCTTACTGTTGTTTTGAATGCCTTAATCTTGTCCAATAAACAGTATCACACCCAAATGCCATTTCTTTTATCCCTGTCTTTTTTATTAATATTGTCTAAGATTTTTCTGTGACAGCAACCTGACACATTTTCCTGGCACTTTATATATATATAAACCACAGAAATTGTCACAATTGATAGTTAATAATGGATTTGTGCATATATGAGGTAGGAAAGCAAAAACTTAGGATCATCTCAGAGGAAGGAAGCACCATAGAGGAGAGTGGAGAACTTCGCTCTTCAAACTGGAGCTGAGTGTTCGCTCCCTCACTTGAAGACTCTGGTCAAATTATTTATTTCTAAACCTCAGTTAGCTTACCTCAGCTCTGAAATGGAGAGATGGAAATGGGTAAGTAGCTCCCTACCTTTTAAAATGCAGCCGCTTTTACCTTAAGGACCTTGTGTTTCTGAAAGATTTTGTTTATGAAATAAGCAGTATTTATTCATTTAATCAGTTTATTCATCCTTTTTTAAAAAAATTCATCAAAGACCTGTATCATGCCAATCATTGCTTCTGATAATTGTGAAGTAACCTGAGTTATTTATTGTACTGACTTGGTATAATTCTATCAAAAAATAAAAACAACACACTTTTGCAACTTAATTGCTGGTAAATCTATCTTTTCCACTGGGCTTTTGATGTATTGAATATAATTCTCAGATTCCCATTACTCGTTAGATTCTATTAAACTTGATCCTCAAAATGGTCCTCTTAAGATGAGCCAGGATTTGGACTTTTCCTGTCCCCAGTCAGTTCTTGGCAGTGTTCCCTCCATTTTCATAAAAGTGTCATTATATGCATGTAGAGAGAGCTTGATATAACTGTCCCCCTCCATTCCTTGTGAGTGTTGAGAGTCAGAAAATACTGAATTCTGGTTTAATTTTTGATCCAACACTGCAAGGAAGATATAATAAACAGATCTTTAAGCATATCAAGTAAACATACAAATTTTTTCCTTTATGCAATCTTAAATCAGGGAGCATGATTTTCACCTGTGAACTTAAGTAGCCATTCTGAGAAAAACCATTGCCTTTCAGATAGACTCAGCTATTTCAGTGGAGCTTATTCTATTTAATTTACTAGCAACCTTCTGTAATCCTATTCAGAAGTGGTACCTTGCTAGTGCTTGTTACCTGTGTATCTCTAAGAAGAGCTATGAATGACCCACATTACTTTCAATAACACATTTACAGAATGTCTGCTACTGTTTAAAAATAAGAAAAACTTGAGTTTTTTAAATGCTAAGGCTGTTTTCAACCTTATCCCCAAAATTTAGTCAGCCTAAAACTATTACTCAAAAAGAACCTCTCCATTCTCACTCATAAATATTTTTTCTAACTACTTTCCAGAATCTTATAGCCTAACTCCTGTATTCTAAAACCTTCTCTTCTAAATGGTATTAAATACTATAATATGATATGTTTGCCTCAAAAAATCAGAAGGCTGTTTTTGTATCATTCACAATCCTAACTGTAGCAAAGAATGAAATGTTGATGGGGGCTAGGGGGAGGGGAAATTGAGGAAGTTTGTGCCTGGGAAATGAAGTATAAGAAACTTTCACTGGAGCAGATTTTTGCTTCTTAGGCTTTCATATTAAACTATACATTACATAGCTCCACTGAAGGTTTTTCCTTCTTCAGTGTATCTGTGGTTTTAAGTTTCTGGATTTATTATGGCACCCAGTAGCAAAGCTGGAGTCAAGTGTTTTCAAGGCTTCCATTAGAAATTCCTTTTTCAGAGTTTATTGCTTGACTGTTTCCAATTATATGAGAGAAACTTGGCACATAGGCTGTTGAACTGGATTACTTTTTTCAACATAAAATCTAATTTATTTCAGTTTGTTTTTAATCTAGAGATGGGCCAACAACTCTTCTCATAGTTTTAGAAGATTTGATCACAATTCTAAATAATGTCAGTTAAAAGAAAAAAGAAACTGCCTTTTCCAATTTAATTGTTGATAGTTTTTTTTCAAAATCCTTGTTGAGAAATTTATTTTTACAAAGCTTAATTAGTATGCCTGATAATCTGTTTGCAGATCATTTCACCATGTGTAATACAGCATGTAAGAATTGTTGCATGACTGTCAGAGTCCATCTGAATGTTTTTACTATGCATTATTGTTTCTGTTAGAATGTCATCATCCTAAAGATTTGATGTTCCCATCATAGTACTCAGAACAGGGCAGGAAAGTATTATGTGGAGGTCACTTAAAATATTGCTCATAAAATTAGCCCTGGCTCTGTTCTTCAAGGGAAACCAACCTGAGGCCTTCCTTCACACTTAGCAATGACTCTAGCTCCCTCTTGCCTCCAACTTCCTTCTCACATTCCTTGTCAGATTTTTGTGACATTTCCTTCCCTTTTCTCTCTCACATCTACCCTTATTCTTCCACCATCCTTTATCTATGTAAAAAGATGATGATTGAGTTGATTGTCAGGTTGGAGGTGACTTTTCATTTTGCACCTCCCTAAAAACCAGACCACATGCATCACACTGTTGATTTTTAACTTACACATATTTTATGTCCTTGACTCAGCACTTTCATCTTACCAGCAAGTTATCCTTTCCTTTTCATTGTTACTTTCAAAAATATCCAGTCTTAATAATGACTATTATGTATGAATCCCCTAAAACTAACACTTAATACTATTTATTATAGACTTTCAGGTGTTGCATTATCCCAGAATAGGTGTACTCTCTAGCTGAATTTTTATTTAAAGTAGCACATATTATTGCTGTTTTCTAAATACTACTTTTGTTGAATTTGTGCCCACCTGTTGGGAATTATTAGTATAAAATACTAAGTCACCTTTCTTGACAATGTTTTCAAAAGTTTAAACTCCAAGGAGTTTGGAAAAATATTCAAGAAAGCATCCACCAATTAAATCATAGAAGTTTTTGAAAGATACTCACTGGCCTTTGCCTCACAAAGAAAGCTCAAAATTAAAACCTGTTATTTCTATGGCCCCATGTGGCTGAATGGATTATTGGACCTTAATTCTTTGTTAATATCATTAAGTAGTAGTTGTTATTCAAATACATATTTATATATGTTTTTGAGAATATTAAAATACTTAAAAATAAGAATAAAATACCAGGGACAACTAAAAATATAAGAAAAGATTTGAAAGTATTTGAATAGTATTCTGTCCTAACATATCAATAAATATCACTTACTATTGAGTGGTCAAACCAAGTAATTCTAGGGAAAACAGATAAATTATATTTTGATTTCTAAATATGAAAAAAGTGAATATTTTCTTTAGACTTATTTAAGATATATTTTTCTCTTCATATAAATTTTATTTTAGTGAGTGAAGATTATACCGAAGAATAATAGTGTGTATACTATTGAATGTGTGCTCAGAACTACTAGATAACATGTTTTAGACACATAATTATTTTAACATTGTGTTAAGACTATACCCTGGGCAAGATCCATGTTCTTGGACTTGTTTATCTTCTGTGTGAGGACAACGAACTGTCCAATGCCAAAATATAATGAACTTTCAAATATCAAAGAGGAAAATTAAGTATTTCAAGTCCTCAGCTGGTTTACAGATGTGTGAGCTTTGTAGTCCATTTTCTGGTTCCAGTGGGGCATTGTGACAATTTTTCCAATATGTGTACACTAGATAAGTTTTGGAAGTAAAATTACTTACTTTAACCACTGAAATAATTTTCTGAATTTAAAATTTTTATGTTTATTTTTCTTAAAAAAAATGCAGCCTAAAACCAAGCTTTGCAATTTTTAAAATAATTTTGAATTTGAAACATATTAAATTAAGGAACCTTTCTCTTTCAGGAAAATAAATGCCTTTTGAAAACAGGTATTCATTTAGATCTGTGATTAACCTTTAACAAGATCTTCCTGTTAGATTCTACATTTGCTTTAATCTCAGTAGGAAAAATACAAACTGGTATTGCAGCATATAGAGTTTCTCTATACCCTGTGGACGTTAAATGATCACTTACAACTAAAGGGACATCTGCAACATATTTAAGTGCCAGTTTGGGGCATTATTAGTAGAAAATGCTAAGTCACTTTTTTTGGAAATATTTTGAAAAGTTTAAACTCCAGGAGGAAACTCCAGTAAATGGTAATCTTATGATACCATTTGTTTCTAAGGAATAGTGGGAAGATGAGTGGCTGTATCGTGTATTTTTCATTTAGGGAAAAGTCGAATCATAGCCCTCCTTAAAAGAAGTCTGAAGGTTGGTGGTGGAATGATTGCTGTGCCAAAGACTGATGTCCTTTTATGCCATGGTTCAGGGAACTATAATGTTAAATCCATATTATCAGTCATGGTAGAGGTGACACAAGTCATCACATTTGGGGCTCCCTTCAAACTCAGAGTCTTATGAGTTTATGAAAGTTCAAGAATGATTACTGGTTGGTTTTAAATAATAAATCTATCTTAAATGCGTAATAAACTGCTGGTGACTGATATACAAGTGGGTAAATTTTTCTAGGTTACAATGAAAAATGGCAATTTCACCACAGATTTTTTTCTTTTACCTTGCATTTTTACTCCATCTCTCTTTTCCTTAAACACATCATTGAAGGTCAAACATTCGGGACAATGTAGAAATGATTAAGCTTCATAAGCAACTAGTGGAGAAAAGCAATGCTCTTTCAGTAATGGAAGGAAAGTTTATTCAGCTTCAAGAGGTACTGTGATAATTTATTTTATTATGGTGATACATAGATACAAAGGTTCAAAAATAGTGTTCAAGTACTTTTTTTTAAGTAGAAAGGTTGTAACACTAAAAAGTAATTTTTAAGGATTGCTCTTTTTATTCTCAAGTGTGTATAATCTCACTTTATATACTGTTCATGATTTATAACTTAATAACTTAAAGAAATAACTAACTGCTTGGACTTTTTATAAATATCTGTGTCATCTTAAAATAATAAACACATTTATTGTAAGTCATCTCATGCCAAGAAAATTTATTTTTAACTCCTTTTATCTTAATTCATATGGGCTCATAGCACTGAAGGTTTAGATATATTTGCATATTTATCTTCAGTTCTAAGCATTTATGAAATATCCAAGCTAGACCAAAGTTATGAATAGGTCAATAATCAGGTTTTATTAAATCTTTCTTTGATGTGGTATTTTGTTTTGTTTTGTCACTACCATTATCAGAAAATATTTGAGTATCCATCATGTCAACTATCAGTGTATTTATTTTAAATCTTAACCATTCAAGTTGACAATACTTGAGACTCTTCATCCCCATGGGTTGTTTTAACAAGGATGTGGCCCCACAGGAATGTGCCATTAGAGGGTCCTATTTATTGGCACTGCATAATTAACACAGGTTCTGGAATTAATGAACTCCAAAACATTCCAGATGAGCAGAATTCATATTAAGCAGTACTTTCTTTGAAGTACCAAGACAAGAAAAGCAGTAGAATGATGCAAAGTATAGGGTCAGCTGAAGCCTAAATTCACTATTGAATTAGATAAATATTTTTAAACCATACTCTTGGGTAGTGTTTTCCATCCAGTTGGAACCTTCTAAAATGCCAAATAATAACTACCTTCCATACGAATATGGGAGTTAATGAAGATGATGAGGCTAACCAAAGAGTAGGAGTGATAATGCTATCTGCAGATAATTAGAAGAGGGAGATTAAAAATACATGTAGTTGAAAGCCATTTCTAAAATAAGGAATTAAAAAGTGCTTTACATTCTTTCATCATTTTGTTTTGATCTCCATTTAACTATTATGCCAGATATTTGCTTAAATACCAACAATAACAAGTGTCTATTGTAGCACAGGTACCTGTTCCATGGACTGAGAGGTTCAGACCAACAACTTCAGTGAGGTCGGAAGCCCGGAGAGAGCTGGTTAAAGATAGTATTCAATAATAATACCAAGATTAACAAAAATTGGACTCAAGTAGCTCAATTGCCAGGTTTCTTTTAAGTGACTGAAGAACTTCAGTAGAACTTAAGTGATTTTAATTAGCAGATGAGGCATTACATGTTATGACCATATGGTCTCTATGAAAAGACTTTAGTGTAATCACCTTTTATTTGTAAAAGAAGGTAGGTAGCATTAAAGTATATATAATTGAATTTAAAACATTCTTAAATGGGCTATTTTTTAAATCAGTAACTAGCCTGATTGAAAATTTTAAATTAACTGTATTAAAATTAGAAGCTCATCTTCCAAGGCCATTTATATGGTGCAGTGACAAATCCTTCCAGATTGAATATCTGTGATGAGCATTTATTTTTGACCCATTCGGCAGCATTTTTAGACAGTATGTCCAACCCCTTTAACCACAGCAAAATGAAAAATAACTTTTAGAGCTGATTTACTCACTGGTCAGTATCAACAGTTCAAAAACTAGGAGGAAGTAAAATGCAGGACAAAAACTGTTCATGTTAGGTGATTTGGTGCTAAGATGACCCTGTGTTTTCTTCCTCATGATACACTGAGGTCGAGTGTCACGTACGGACTTGTAACACACACATACTGTGAGGTGAAGAATAAACTGAATAACGTCAACTTCAGCAGTAAATTCATTTATAAAATAGTATTCATTTATTCAAAGCAGAATTCAAAAATAATTTTGAAAATATTTTCTTCTTTTATTTTAGAAGCAAAGAACTCTCAGGATCAGCCATGATGCCTTGATGGCAAATGGAGATGAGCTAAATATGCAACTTAAAGAGCAACGTTTAAAATGCTGCAGTCTTGAGAAACAATTACATTCCATGGCATTTTCTGAAAGAAGAATAGAAGAGGTAAACTCCCAAAGAGTGTAACCATCCATTGGCATTTAAACTGCTCTGTCACCATTTTGAAAAAGTACAGGCATTTCTAATCTATTTGTTTAAAAATCCTGAAGTACATACACGGAGCTTTAAGCACAGCAAAATATAGTCAGTGTATTATGTGCATGGCAAATCAGTGCTTAAAAGTACTTGCAAATGTGCTGAGATCCACTATTACCTAAAGCACTGAGGATCCTTGAGGAAAAAAGATTTTGAAACTGATGCCAGATTACCTGTTGAATTTAAGTTTCTCAACCTTAACAGCTTCTTAGTCATTTGAGATACCAAAACAAAATTAAAGGAATATACCTGTTTCTGAGAAGGATGTTCACTTCTACAACATCAATTTTGTGAAATTATTTTATGTTTTTTTCTAAGAAGTTGTTTGAAAACTCATCTTCCTATTACAGTTGCCACTCATATCTCCCAGCTAGCGCAATCTTTTTCTGTAGTCTCTTAAACTTGTTTTAAAGAGAATAGAAATGACATAAGATGCCTGTTTTAATCTTGGGAGAATCTTTTACTGTGTCTCATAATAGCATCAAAGAGAATTTTGAGAATGAAAATGAAATGATTCATGGGGAAAGGTTGTAACTACAAAATATACTGGTGAATAAAACTTCAACATAAATACTAGAAATAAATACAGAAAGCTACAATTTAGTCATAAGGATATAATTATTACCCTGAGTTTATTTATAAAATTATTATTCACTGGGATAAAGCAGGTATACAATTTTACTTATTCATTGATTTATTTAAAAGATGTACTCTAGCTCTTTGTAAATTCCAGGTAATGTGACAAATTGTGTCTTCAGAGGAGTGATTGACGTAATTTGTTTGAACAGTGAGCCAAAAGAAACGTTAATCCTTTTGTTCTTAATGGGCCAATACAAAATCAATATAATGATAGAATTCGTCAGGAAGGAAAGTAAAAAATATTATGTTTTCCCAGACTTAACAGCAAGCTTTTAACACATTGCTTATTGAGGTTAGTCACAGGTTGCCATACAGCAGTGCATACATTTCTACTGAATTAAAACAAATATTAATTTCATGTTTATTTAACAACTTGAGAAAAATCAATGCTAAATTAAATACAGACAGTGTAAGTGGACTAGTTAACAGCTGCAATTTAGAAATCAAGACTGAAACATGTTAGCCTCCTCTTGTGTTTGTTTTACCCCATGTGGTTTTATATGATAATTACCTAATGTGTAATTTTCTTTTCCTTTTAGCTGCAGGATAGAATTAATGATTTAGAAAAGGAACGAGAACTTTTAAAGGAAAATTATGATAAACTTTACAACAGGTAAATCATGATTCCATGTGTTCTTTCATTCTCGTTTGAGATCTTTTATATCAAAGCTTTAGATGTCCGAATATCTAATATCAATTAAAGAATTAGCAAGGGATGATTGCAAGAAATATACATATGTCACAAAAGAACATTAAGCGCTTTTTAGGCCCTGGTAATAAGTTCTTTAACCTGAGAACTTGTTGCCTATTACTAAGGAAACTATAACGCTTTGTTGTCAGTAACAACTATTATCATTTATTGAACGCAAATTGTATGCTAGCTGGCATATGCTAACTACTTTATGTACATTATTATAAATTACACATGACAACCTGGAAATGTAGGTATTGTAAATGTCCATTTCTCAGACAGTGAAAATAAAACACAAATAACTTGTCCATGTTCTTAAAGCTATGAAGTAATAGAGCTTGTATTTTAACCTCTTTTGTTCTCTCTAAATGTTTGTTTCTTCCTCTGGGCTACCCAGCTTATTAGCTGAGAGTGATTCTGTTGGACAACAAACACGTTTACTTACAATTGTCTGTATTCCTTATAAAGAGAAATACAAGTATGTTTATCTCAAGATAAATTTTAAAGATCTGTTTCAATTTTGTTTGTTAACCTGTTTTCAGATTATGGTATTTTAAAAATTAACCCGTTCTGAAAATGTTAGAAACAAAATTCTACTCCACAGCTAAGTTTAGTTAAGTGATACAGATGTGTGTGTGTGTGTGTGTGTGTGTGTGTGTGCGCGCGTGTATGTATGTATTTTTAAGCCTTTTCAGTATATGATGCTGATAAATTATAAATACAGGTTTATGTGAAACTAAATTTAATATATATTGAAATATGTTTGTTAGAGCTGATATTCAACATAATCCTTCTAGGATCATACTCTGAAATAACAGAAAATAGCCATTTGATCTATAGATATCTTTTTTTAATTGTATGTTTTATGTTTTGAATGTTTTGTAAACTAAAGTTACATTTTGTAAATTAAGCAAATCATACCTAAAGAATGTAGAGATAGGCTTTTATTTGTCTCTACTTTGAAAAGATGCCCAAATTAATCTTAGGCATCATTCCAGTAATATGTGTCATCTGTATTGTTTACCTACTAGTGTTGATTATCTTTGCACAGTGACTCATTATATTAAGGGCTACCAATAGCAGGTTCAGACATTAGTTAAAAGAATACTTGGGGCTATCCAGCAAGGATAAACTGACTAAAAATCTTTATGTGGGATTTGCGTTAGCTGCTTCCCAAGTGCTCTGTTTAGTCCTTCTCTCATCACTTCTGATTAATTCTACCCAAACATTTGTTATCCCTCCTGTTTTATATGTTCATTTATCTACAGAACAATACATAGATTTATATTGATATAAATAAGTATTCAGCAGTTATGTGTTTGAAAAGTTCAGACTTCAGTATATAGATTGCACAACTGTATATTTGGCAGAGAAAATAATGTTATTCCCATATTTTATAAATAAGGGAATTGAGATTGAAGAAAACTTAAGAGACTTGTACAGAGTCACCCGGCACTTCTGAGACTCCAGTACATAACTAAAATTCAACTCTTTTGAACTTAAAACTTGAGGTTTTCCCCTGTGTTTCGCTACCTCTCTGATTTTAATTGCATGGGAAAAATGTATATGCAAAAGGAAATCATTCATAGAATAACAACTATCATACATTCACAAATTTTTATTGATTTATATTTGTCTCCAACATCTTGTAATATCAAACACTTTTACATGGTCTTAACTCAAAAAACTATGTGCCATTGGGCTATTACTTACACATCTCCTACTTTGTCCCAATCTGAGGATTTACTGAACATGCTTTCTTGAAATAAAACACATTAAACTTAGCTGGAAATAATGCATAAATGGAATTTTGAGAAAGACATATTTTTCTTATATTTGCTCTATCACCGTGAAACTTTATCTTTCCATATTAGAAGATGATTTAAGAGTATAAATCTAACTTTGAAAGGTTGTATTTTTTTTTTTAGTGTTTTATGCTTAAGGTACATTTTTTTCCCATCACATTAAAAACATACTTCATTATGCTGCTTGCAACTGAATTTTGTGTAAGGTACATGGAGGTAAATGTGTGTAATGAGTGTCAAGACATTTTGCGTCAAAAAAAAATTAATGTCACTTAAGTGCAAAACCCAGCAAGCACACATGATAGTAAATAGAACTATAAAATTCTCTAATACAATTTTTTTAATATGTTTTCAGAAGCATAGTTGGAGAATTTCTACAAAAATCAATATCATCCCTAAGATTCTTAACAGTGCTTGTGTTTCATGGCGCTGTTATTCATCACTGCCAACAACTAATGCTCATCAAAAACTACATATACTCCTTGTTTGGCTAGTCATAGTGATAGCACATTTTGAAAGGGAGAGCATTTGTTTTTGTTACTCAAAACTGGCTAGTTTTCTGGAGAAAAATATGATTTGCAGATTGCATTCTCATCTTCCTTTTTCAAATGAAGTTTTAAATGTGTTTATTACTTGACATATGACACATTAGAGAATCATCTAGTAAGATAAAACCCTCATGTTTGTTTGGTATGAGCCTTTTCAAATATGCTAAGTAAAACATTTTTGGCACAATGCCAACAAATAAGTATAGCTTTTAAGAAATGTTCAATTTAAAAATTCAGAATAAATTTTTTGCAATTAAATCCATTTGGACAGAGATAAACTCTGTATTCAAATATAGTAAAGCTGTGTCCCATGTTTAAAGTTCATATATTTTGGGGTCATGTGAATGACAAATGCAGAAGTCTTTCAACTATAATGTATATGAATAACCTGGAAAACAGCAAAATGTAGGTTCACCACCCCTTTGGAGCCTTCCCACCTGCCCTCCTTTCTGTTTTCCTCCACTGTCCAATTTAAATTGTCAGTTTGAGATTGGATCCAGAGAATCTATTAGAAGTGATTTAAGGTATTAACTTCCAGAGAGACACTAATCTAATGCCTTTTTTTTCTAAGTTGGAATTTTGAAGATGATCTTAACCATTTTAAGAATTGGGTAAATCATTATTTTTTACAATGTGATAGTCATCTAATATCCAAAACACAAAGAAGCACTCACTTGCTAACTACACATAGACTCGCTATGCTCCATTTCGGTAAAGTGAGAACCTGTCCCCTACAGTCTTTAAGGAATCATGAAAGCTCATATGATCAAGTATGAGCACTCTATACTTCCCAGAAATCAAACTGAGTACATCTGGGGCATCATTTTTCCTTCAGTAAGTTTAATATCACTATGTAAATGTGTATTTAATTTCCATTAAGCACTAACTAAAGTACCTATGGATTTCTTTATGGATGATTTAGAGCATATTCCCTTTCTCTCACATACGGATGCCCTGGAACTTGGAATAAATGGATTTTCTTTTGTTAAAAAATAGACCTTGGGGTGAAGGTGAATTCTTCATCCCTTATTTGACCTTGATCAAGGGTGTGTCTTTACAGTATGCTGACTCAGGATCACCAGTGGACACACCACTGACCACAGGTACCAATGGACGTTCTACCGCAGATAGATGTTTTACCACTCCTTCAACATAGTGTAACAAATGTTCACAAAGACCAACTATGATCTCCCCTCAGTTGTCACTGTAGGCAGTATACAAAAACATTTTCACGAATAAAAGTTCTCAAAGACTGTCCTCATATGCAGATTTAATCATGTACATAGCCTTTACAAAGAAAATGGAGCCAGATGTGGTTCACCATTTATAGTTACACAGATGGCTCCAAGCATAGAGGAATACAGTAAATTCAAAAGGAATTCCTCATGAAACTTCAGTGGAATGTAATCCTAAATTTAGAGGAAAGATAGCAGTGGACTAAATTCAGATTGACTTACGCTGATTTACACTAGTATTTTGTGGGTTTGGAAAAACCAGGCTGCTAAATTGTTCTTAATTTAAACACATACAGCTTCTGATGTTTCTGCCAGATTAACTGCTGGTGATCTTTTTGCTGGTACTAATACTATTGGAACACTACTGTTCTAATTTTTGGCATCTGATATAATTTATAATTGTGCCTATTTCATCATGCTAATTTTTTTTCTGGGTAATACATGTTTTTAATAATAAAAGATACACTCACATGCATGCATATATATATATGTGTTTGTTATATATAATTTGACAAGACACAAATTATGTTTGCTATTTTTAAAAAAAATGAAAATGTAAAGGAATATTCTTTAGTATTTAAAGTACATATTTTATTTTGGTTTCATTTAAGTCTAGGAAATTATACCTTTGATAAAATTAACTTAAAATATTGGTATATTAGATCCATGATTTTTTTTAAGAATCCATATGTGAAATGAGAACAGTGATAGAAGAAACAGATGTCAGATTTAGAGAAACTTCTAGAATTCCATTTATTTTTAACGTCATGTTATTTTAAATGCAATAAAAACATTCAAAATGTGAAATGAATACACAATTTTGTTCTTTTGGAGGCTATGCCTCTCAGAAAAGTATCTCTTTTGCAATAAAATCTCAAGACTTGCTGGGAGCAACGTTCAGGGCAGTTTTCAATAACAAGTTTCTTTTTCATTTACTTCATCATCAGTACAAAACCAGATATTACAATTTTTTGTTTCATTTTCTGGGTTTTACATAAGTAGAAGGGTCAAAGCTGCTGATAATTATTCAGTAATATCAAGCTTCCCAGATAATAGTTTTCTGCTGAAGTACAGATCAAAATCAGTTTTTCCGAAACCTGGCTGTCACCTCGGGAGCTTTATAAAACTATGAATTCCTGGGCCTCAGCATCTTCCCTTTTAAATCTCCCTAAATGTTCTTAGTGCAGCTGGTCTAGCAGCAGCATTTGAGAACCATTGGCCTAAACAAATATTTAGCATATACCTTCTGCATACCATTTAGATGATATTTGACAGGTTCTTACAGTATGCTGGGTCTTGATTATTAGATTTTAATGATAGTTTAAGCTCTTCACTTTAATTGAGAAATAATATTTTTATCTTCATCATTCTTATCAGGGTGTTCTTACTGAATTTTTATTCATGAAGTGTTACAAGTATATCACTACTTCTTAATATCCTATAGTTTGATATGCTATCATTTTGTGACCAGTATTTTGTGAATATGTTATTATCATTGACTCTTTATAAATTTCAGATTCTAGAATTTAAAATCAAGTGGAAAGTCCCTTTTCTCTATTAAGAGGGTTTGTGTGTGAGAGAGAATGGTTTTGTACTATGTCAGTTGCTGAGGTTTGGAATTGTGGATTCCTCTGGAGTATGTATAGTATCTGAATTCCTTTACTAGTCCCACAAAAGCTGCACACTGCCAACTTTTCTGACTTCAGAGCTCTAAATTAAGGCCAGTTCCTTTGCTCATCCCACAGACTCTTTCATGTTCCCTAACCGCAGCCTGAGGAAGGCGCCTTGGTTTCAACAGCAGCAGACCAGCATATGTTTACTTAATTCCTAAGACATGATGACAGTGGTCTCTATGCCACTAAAAGCTTTTCTCTTTATTATTTTCGGTTGAAGCTGATTTCCGAGCTTTCCTTGCATGTCACGTGTGTTTTGCAGTGCCTTCAGTGCTACCCATGAAGAGCAATGGAAGTTAAAGGAACAGCAGCTGAAAGTACAGATTGCTCAACTCGAGACTGCCTTAAAATCTGACTTAACAGACAAAACTGAAATCCTTGACAGATTAAAAAGTGAAAGAGGTATATATAAGTGACTACGTATTCATTCTAGACATCCATGTTGTTCACTGTTACTTGCTCACTCACTCAGTACTTAGTATGGTGCCTACTGTTTTGCCAGGCACCTTGCTATGTAGGGAACAGCCTCTATTAGCAGCCATCCACTTTCGTGAGTTGATTGGTTACTCAAAATTTCTCTTTACTTAGCCTAGCATATATGCTTAAGAATTTTTTTTCTTCTCAGAGTTATTCAGGTTGTCTTTAATTTCATTTTCCTAAATTTTGAGCCTTTCTTTATTCAACAGTCAACAAGCTTTCATTGAGCCCCGGTATGTGCTAGGCACTGTTATAAGTTCTGTGGATACAGCAATGAATAAATCAGAGGCTTGCCCTCTGCAACATAAATTCAATAGAGAGAAACTGACAATAATTAAATATGAAGTACCTCAGGAGGTGGCAAGTGCAATGGGCATAAAAGCAAAGCTGTGTAAGGTGACAGCAGCAGTAGTTGCTTGTTTTTAGCAGGTCAAATGGAAGATTTCTTTGATGGTGAGGTGTCTAAGTCTACTCTGTGACAGTGAACTTAAAAACTAGGAAGACTCATCAAGATGTCTGTGCAAAAATATAGTCATTAATAAGTTTCATTAACGAGTCACAGATATCATTCTTCTCTCACAGAAATAAAGTAGATATCTGACTTACTATATAGTATACACCCAAATGCATAATAGGGGAATTGAATTATTTGCTTCAAATGTTTTATCTATTGCTCATCCACTCCATAAACCAAGTGATGTGATAAGATTATTCCTTTTGAACATTTGCAATTCAGTTGCATGAAAACATTTAAAAGTTTAATTCAGGCTTGGTTTAAAAAATTACATATAGTCAATACTCTATATATTAATTTGGGTCATAATGCCATATTTCATTAGAAAGATTTTTTTCCCATTTTAACATCTCTGAAATTGGGATGTATCTTATAAAAGATAACATTTTTAAATTATCATATGACTTCTTACATTTTAAGTCTTAAATCAGAATACATCTTATAATCAGTGTAGTTGTAATTTCAATGAAACACATATACGATATTTATTTACCAAGTGATTAAATTTCATGAAAGATTATGATTTGTCTCTAGAAAACTGAGAGTAGAATAAAAATGGTGATACGATTTAAAGATGGTGGCTATTTTTAAATTCTGATGTCAAAAGAAACATATTCCTGATTTTGATATGTTGTAGTGAATACCTAACAGAGTGCTTTGTTTAGTAGTTGCTCAATAAATGCTTGTTCACTGAAGGAAATGGAATTGTTCTATATTCCCTCTTTCTTTTCCAAAAACAGTTATAAATTGCCCATTCTTAAAGAAAAGAAAAATGAAATAAACCTTTCTTATTTCTGTGCTTTCTTTATTTCCCTTGAATTCTTGATATCATCAAGAATTTCAAAACTCTTAACTTTCTATCTCTGAATTGGTCTCTGGAAAGAAACTCTTCTTAAGGGAATAGAATGTTAGTAGTCTTTTAGTAAAACTTGTTTGTTGTTGAATTAATCTTGAGGTTTCTTTCAAATTATTGAAACTATGATTGCTAAGTTATTTTAATTCAATTTGTCCATTCTGTATCTTTTATATTTTTTTGGACTTTCTGAATAATACAAATTACTAATGTGTACTGTAAAAAAAGTCCAGTAAAAAGTAAATTGTAAAGATCATTCAATCCCACTGCCCTCAAGATAATCACTATTAATATTTTCATCTCTGTCCTTTCAGAGTTGTTTCTATATTTATATAGTTTTATAAAGTGCTTTTTTGTTTACTATATTGTAAAATCATTCTTCAGTATAAATATAAATCTATATCCTCATCATTTTATAGTGACTGTCATAGTTTTCCAGTGTGAAGATGTATCAAAGATTGTTTAACTATCTTCTATTGATGAATTTTTAAATAGCTTCAGTTTTTTTAAGTATCATAAACATCTTTCTGCACAAATCTTTGCACATTATCCAATATTTTCTTAGGAGAAATTCCTAGAATTGAATCTCGATTTTTAATGCAACTGTTATTTTAGTTATTTTTACTTAAATACCTGAAGTTAACAGGCCTAATGATTAAAGTTTTGGTTTTTTGTGAAAATGTTACAGTAGATTATAAGAAAAATATTACAGCCTTTAACCATTTTTTCCAAGGAAATATTAAACAAAAATATTGAAATTCTATCTTTAAGGAACCTTTTCAATATTTAGGAATTCCTTCTTATATTACAGATTTTTTAATTTTTTAATTATTTGAAGTCTCTTCACACGTTTACAATTTACTTTTCATGTATCAAGTGTTCTTTGCCAGAATATGTTTCCCTGGCTTCTTACAGTCATTCATATAACTGGTAAATTATTTTTAGAGAATACTCATCTCTTTATTCAAGGTACAAACTAGTTTCAGATTGTGTGAATATGTGGGGGAAGGATATGTAAATGCAGTTTGCATTTGCTTAATGCTTAAATTAACTGCATGTGTTTACGGGCCTGCTTTTGCAAGTTCCTTTCTATCTTTAGCTGAAATGCATAATTCAGCATAATGCATATGGTTATATTGATCACAGCTGAAGATACTAGCACAAAGGAGCTCTGAAAATTGTTTAGTTGAACTGTTCTCTGCACTCTGCTTATTAATGGTGTGCTGAAGAACATAATTTTGAAATGGTGAAATGTTATCTCATTTGAATAAAATTCTGTTTAGCTTAACCTGCTTTTTGTCAAATCATAAGGAGGTTATTTTTCATCTTGTACAGGATGCTTTGAGTTTTCATATTATAATTCAGCAAGTCTATTTCCTCTTTGAGCTATAGCTTCTCCATACTTTTTAAAGACCCAGGAGTTATATCCCCAATGAGCAGTTTAAGAAAGGAAAAATATACTGGGTAATTCCACATAAAATCCAGTAGAGAGGAAATTACTGGTATTCAGTAATGTCTTCTCCCACTTAAAAGTTATTTCCCCACTAATAACTCCCTTATTAGTTTTAAAAATAACAGTGAAATGGGGACATAGTTGTTAATAAATCAGTAAAAGAAGAAACATTTGAATGTGTTTATTTATGCCTTCTAGGACCCTGCTGTGAAAAATTGAAAGGAAAACTAGAGCATAGAAATAATAATGAAAATACACTCAGTCTTGATGAAGATGGAGCAGTTATGACCTGTACAATTTAGCCTACCCTCAGAAACCTTAAAAGTTTTGATATTACCCTCAGGGCCTTGGGTTTTACATCTTTTTCACTCTATTTACCTTCTTTCTATTTACCTAATCACTCTATCTAGATGATGTTTTAAAAATCAATATAAAATAAAGTGTTGTATGTTCTTATTCTACTCTAACCAAAAAGCCAGTTTATCTCCTAAGAATTCATATTATTAATCCTAATTTTTTGCTAACAGACAAGTATTTGACCTTTACCTTCAAAATTTCCAAGTATTGTTCACATTCAGAAATTCTTTCATTTTGTTCACCAAATTTTAACAATATATACTGTAGGATAACCTTCTAACCTTTCAATAATAAGATAGTGTTTATAATTTGATATGAAAATGTCTCTGTATACCCTGGAGTCACAATTGTTTTTTAATTTTGCCAGGAAATATGTCACATAAAAATATCCACATTTAGTTCATTTCTTAACCATGTAATTTACAGTTTTTACTTATATGCAGCATTTATAGCTTGGGAACACAAAGTGCTATAAAAGTCAGAAATGCATTTTTGCATAAAATGTATTCAATGTGCAAATACATTCATGTAAGAATTCTCAACAAATGTTTGATTTTTTTTCATTTAAGAAAAGGAAACAAATATCTACAACTTGAATTGAGGACTTATGATAAACATAAATCTTTGACAGCAGGATGAAATTAGTGGAGACACTTTAGATGACATGGTTTAGAGTTAGTCCACAAGGAGTCAAAAGGGAGGATACTTGGCCACCACAGCAAACTCTCTTGAAGAGCACACTTAAGACCATGAGACCGAAGAGTAGACTTATTAGCTAACCATCATGCTTCTTTTTTTTTTAAGTTAAGCATTGAGTGAAAAATTAGTCTCTTTATGGATACACTGTCCTCTATAGCTCTACCCTGTACCCCTGCTTGCAGGTCATGGCAAATGAGTGCCTAGGTAGCTGTAACCTATCGCCGTTCCTTAGCAATAGCCCTGAGTCCATGTCCTACTAATGAATAGTATGAACTGAATGAATAAAAAACACACATGAATTATTACTGATACTGCCATGCACTGGTTGAAAATCCATCTCTCCTATCTTAACAGATTTGTTAGAAGTGTGTTTCATAATTTTATGGATTTAGTTACTATCTAGAGAAAGTATCTCATTTGAGTAGAAAGACTTTATGCTAAATTGGGAAAAGAAAACTCAAAGAAGTCAATTAAAAAACTAAAAGACCAAAAAATTGCGTTCATTCATTCCTCATTCCCCTGATGCCTTTGTCTAGGTGCTAGCCCAATTTCCTCTCTGACCAGAGCCATACTAGATCAAGCTTGTGTATCAGGAATTAAATTAATTTAAAATGTGTTCTTACACCTCATTCTCTCCTACCTTTCTAATTGTGTTCACTTTATTTTTAAGACCAAAATGAGAAACTCATTCAAGAAAATAGAGAACTACAATTAAAGTATCTGGAACAAAAGCAACAACTTGATGAACTTAAAAACCGCATGAAGTTTTACAACCAGGTGAACTATTTTTTTATTCACAAAATAAACTCCAAATTTTCATCTAAATATTTTATGCGGAGAAAAAACCGCTATACTACAAAGCAAAAGAATACAAATATACTAGTTTATTAATACATGATATCTGGCAGCTTATATTTCATGAGATTCTGAAGAGTTGGAATGTCTCTTATACTTAGTTTTTTAATTCATGGTATCGGGCAGCTTATGTTCCATGAGGATAATCTGCATCATTGGTATGTCTCTTGTACTTTCCATTAATATCTCATTGTGAGCTTTTACTTTATCTTTTGTAGGAAGGTGATATTAATGCTGATGAATTGAGTGAAGCTCTCCTGCTTATAAAGGTAACTTTCTGAACTTCACCATGAATTTCATGTCTACTTATAACTGTTACAGCGTAATAATGACCCTTATCTGTAACCCTTGGAGAATGAATTATTCAGGAAAGTAGTCAGGTGACATTTAGTTAGAGCATATACATGTTTCATAATGACGTCAAAGCTACATTAAAATGGACCTCAAAAACTCTTATTTAAAGCACTTTCTTCAAGTGTAACAAACATTTTACTTTTATATGCCTCCCTATAAAACTAATCAACAATTTTCTGTCCTAAGAGACCTTGGTACACCCTATTATCTTAAGTAAAATATTAAATTATAAATGTTACCAGCGATATTTTCCCATTCTGGGATATTCTGTTATTTACAAGATGACATGAGAAAATACATTTCTTTCCTTTTAAATCAACACTATAGATTTTAGTCAAATGAAGAAATAGAAATAAATATACATGATTCTTTTTTATGTCATGAAGTAATACACTGTTTTTTGATTTCTCTATAGTTGTTCAAATGTCTATCCAAATACATTTTCTGTAACAGGACTGCTTTATTCCTGACAGAAAGAGGAGATTTATCTGTTTTCAATTAATTATTATTCCTTGCTGTATCTATATTAATTCATGTGATTACATTTTGGAAACTCTTGTTTCAGTAATAAAACATGTTTTTGTTTTTAGGCTCAAAAATCACAAAAAAATGGAGACCTTTCCTTTTTAGAGAAAGACAATAAAATTAATAAAGATCTAGAACATTCCATGAGAGAGCTACAAGCAAATCATGCAGAAACTGTACAAGAACTTGAAAAGACAAGAAATATGCTAATTATGCAACATAAAATTAATAAAGATTACCAGGTAATATAATAAACTAAATTGGGAGAATAAATTTCTTATGATATTCTACTGATGATTTATTTCTAAGCAGTATCATGTGTCATCATGTTAAACTCTATTCATCATGTATTACCACATGCCTGGAATTTAGCCTTTTTACTAGGTAGTTAGAATAAAGAGTTTAAAACAAATAATTTTTTAAAGTAAAGCTCACCTTCACTAGTATTAGTACATTCTGCAAATAGGATATAGTTATCCTAAGGTCCTGCCACAGACACATGTTATATTAGCCATTAAAAAATGGGAAAATCACCTCCATAAAAAGGAGTTTGGAATTTTTTTGGTTTATGAACATTGCCAGGCATAATTTTCTAAACTGTAAACTGTTTGTGGTCAGAAAACCATGGCTTACAGCTCCTGGTATCCCCAGGATTTAGTGTTTGAGTCATCATTGCTTTAAAAAAATGAAAATGGAACTAATTATAAGTATTGAAACTTGTTATCTCTTTTTTTTTTTTAGATGGAAGTTGAGGCAGTGACCCAGAAAATGGAAAATTTGCAGCAAGATTATGAAGTCAAAGTGAAACAATATGTTCATCTTCTTGATATTAGGGCTGCACGCATCCAAAAACTAGAAGGTACAGTGTGCACAATTCTTTGTCCACAGTAACTAGACAAATGTATTTCATGACAGTTGAAAATGTCATCCAAATCTACACTCACAACTTCTTTTTGCTCTTTTTTTTTCCAATTCCTAACTATAATTTACATTAAGAATGTTTTTTTAATCTGATTCTTTTGTACTCAAGAATTCTTAGTAATTCCCTACTGGTTTTTGAATTCAGTGTTGCAGGCAGGATTTCAAAATACTTTATGAAGAACCACAGAGTAAATTTATCACCTCATTCTAATTTCTAAACAAACCATGCATCTCAGCCAAACAAGAAGTGTACTTGCTGTTTATCAGATTCACCTTGCTCAGTCCTACCAACAATGCTTTTGTCTCCACCCAAACCTCCCTGATGCCAAGACATACCCTTCCCTGCTTTGAAATCTAAATAAATACACATCCATATGCCAGAAAGCTGGCTCTGATTACTCCCAGTCATTCCTCAACTTGAAATGCCCTTGCAGTGGTTTTCAGACTTTAGCAAGTGTGAAAATTACATGAGGCATTCATTTCAAATGGCTTCCTAGGCTGTACCCTTAGAAATCCAGGGGCCCATAATTCTTTATATTTGGAAATAACTCCAAGCAACTCAAATGCAGGTGTAAAACTACTTTGAAAACTACTGCCTCAGCACTTACACTTTTTCTCTCATGTACTCAAAAAATATTTTGGGGGATTACATTATGTAAGTGTTCTTCACTGTTGGAGTTTTGCATACTCTTTGTAACTACAATGTAAGTTCTACATGGTAAGTATTATGTGTCTCTTTCATGTCCCCTGCAATACAATGCTTAATTCAATGATCCATGCCAGCAGTAATTTTGCACTCTTAAAAATTATTGAGGATCCCAGAGGCTTCTTATTTATCCTGGGCTATACTTAACATGTTTATCATATTAAAAATTAAAAGTGGGAAATTTTTTTAATATTTAAGTCATGATAAATAAAAATAAACCCCATTACATGTTAACATAAATTAGTGTTTGTTTTTTAAAAGCTGTATTTTCCATACTGAAAAAATAGTGAGAAGAGTGGCATTGTTTTAAATTATTTTATGTTTTTTTTAATTGTTTAACATTTTTGCAAATTTTTGGTGTCTGGCTTAGCAGAACACAGCTGGATTCTTATATCTGCTTCTACATTCAATCTACTGTAGAGTCTGGGAAACTCCATTATATACTTATGAGAGAATAAACATGAAAAGAGCAAATAACATGTCAGTATTATTTTTAAAATAGTTTGACCTTACTGAACTCCAAAACAGTTGCATTGACCCTTAGAGGCTTCCAGACCACACTTTCAGACTACTGGCATAAGTATAAGGGCTTAATAAATATATTTATACAATTGAACAGGGTTTTCCAAAAGTCTTAAGAGCAGCGTGTACCTTTTATTTCAAATAGTACTCAATAAAAAATTGCTTAATGGAATTTTTTTGACAACACGAAGGTCACAGAGCTTGAAAATTTCCATTCCTTTCAAGTCCTACTAAATCTTTACTAGTATATTTTATCTGCCCCCTAAACTGATTGATTCATTCCATAAACATGATCAAGCTCCTAACGCATCCTAAGCAAGAAAGTGTTTGGCAGTGAGAAAACAAATAGTATAAAAGCTCAGACACCATTCTCACGGAACTCATGAGATATGAACAAGTGACCCTGAAGAATCTGAACCTTACTAAACTACAGAACCACTGAGGAATTTTCAAGATAGAAAGTAATATACCCAAGACTGCATTTTGGAGATTATGATGCAGGTATTAGGAAGAATGAGCATGATTTAAAGGAAGGAAGCAGTTTGGGTTTCATAGTAATCTAGGTAATAAACACTGGGAGTATAAGTAAGGTAGCATCAGTGGAGAAAGAGAGGATGGGGACAAATTTGATAAAGGCTTAGGAAATAGTGTTGAATAGTAGTGACCCTGTAGAGATATGAGGAAGGTAAAAGAAAAAGGAAACTAGGATGACTCAGTGGCATCTAGCTTAGACAACTGGGTGAATTCTAATACCATCACTTGAGTTTCAAATTACTAAATAACTAGAAGAGAAATAGGAATAACTAGAAGAGAAAGTGACACATTCTGTTTTGGATTATATATAGAGTTTGATGTACCTAGGAGATATCTAACAGAAGGTTCAGCAAGCCATTAGGTATTATACCTAGTTTTTTAATTCATTGTATCAGGCAGCTTATGTTCAGGAAAGAAATCTGAATAAAAAATAGAAATAGGAGAGTCTTCAGCATACTGATAGTAGCAGAAGTCATAAAAGGGGATGAGATTACCCATGAGAATATGTTGACTAAAGAGGATAAAAACAGAACCCCAGCAAAGTAGCAGAAGAAAGAGAAACCCTTAGAAAATGAGAAGAGAGGTAGGAGGAGAAGCAGGGCAAATGATGGCATGAAAGCCAGGTTAGGACAGAGGTTCACAAAGAGAAAGTGACCATCAATGTGAATAAAGGAGATCAACCAGTACAAAGACCAAAATTCATCCAGTCTAGCCATCAATAGGTTGTTGGTAACCTTTTCTGTAATAGTTCCACACTCTTGTGTGGAACAGTAAGGCAGATGTTATGTGCAGGAAGTTGAAGAGTGTTACATGAAGAGATGGAGACACAAGTATACATTACTCTTTCTAGAAATTTGGATGTAACATAGGGGGAAATGTGTATCTAGAGTCTTATCTTTTTTAAAAGCAGCTTTCTAGAAGTATAATTAACATAATTTAAATTGCATGTATTTAAAGTGTATAATTTGGTGAGCCTCTTTGTACACCTATGAAGCCATCACCATAATTAAGATAATAAACATTTCCATAACCCCCAAAAGTAGAAAAGTATGTATTTTAATAAGCAGAAATGAAGGTGCCAGGGAAAGAGGTAATATAGGAGAGAAGATAATAGAGCAGAGGTAGAGGAGCAGGTAGTAAACCCAAATATTTACCTCAGCTGTTCATTCAAAGGCCTTTTTGCCTTTTTTCTTTTTCCTGGCCCAACCTGTATTACAACTTAAGCTGTGATTTTATTGTTAGTAAGTGATGTCAAAACAAAAATGATACATTTCTGTATAATATAATAGTATTTACAGAAACAAAAAATGTAGTCATAGAATTTAAGGTTGAGAGTATTCACCAAAAGCAGTCAGACATCCTACCACTTCAAAAACCAGTTTATATCTTCATATGTCAGTGTTTAAAAATCTCTAAACTATGTGTCTTCTCTTGCAGCCCAATTAAAGGATATTGCCTATGGAACCAAACAGTACAAATTTAAACCAGAAATCTTGCCAGATGACTCTGTGGATGAATTTGATGAAACCATTCACTTAGAACGAGGAGAAAACCTATTTGAAATCCATATCAACAAAGTAACCTTTTCTTCTGAAGTTTTACAGGCATCTGGAGATAAGGAACCCGTCACTTTCTGTACCTATGCTTTCTATGATTTTGAACTACAGACAACTCCCATAGTGCAGGGTCTTCACCCAGAATATAACTTCACTTCTCAATATCTTGTTCATGTTAATGACTTATTTTTACAATATATTCAGAAACATACTATCACTCTTGAGGTCCACCAAGCTTACAGCACAGACTATGAAACAATTGCAGCATGTCAATTGAGATTCCATGAAATTTTAGAAAAGAGTGGTCGAATATTTTCCACAGCAAGTTTGGTTGGTAAGTACATTCTTAAAAGCTTTGGATGTTTGAATTACTAATTTGGTTTGTATTTTAAATTGGTGTTCCACCTTAATATCTTCTCTCAGAGATTCAAGATGACTTTAGGGTAAGGACTGTGTTCTCTAATTTAGCTGCTCATAGTTGATGGGACCATGCTAAGTGTCATTGGTGATGTCAGTACAATGGTTATTAATTTTTTAAAAGCTTACAAGTGCTAATGACTATTTACCATATTGATACCCTTGTTTGATTAAATATTAATTGGTGTACATCCATTAAATATTTCTTAAGAGCTTTTCATGTTGTCATCACTGTTATGAAGTACTGGGAATACAAGTGGTCAGCAGTTAAGTCAAAGCCCCTGCCCTTGTGTAGCTTACCTTCTAGAAGGGCAAATAGGCCATAAAACAAATACACATATCATCAGATATGAAGAAAAATAATCAGAGCAAGAGGCCAAAGAGAGAGATGGGAGGTTACTAATTCAGATAAGGGCTTCTCTGAGTGGTAACATTGGTAAACACCTGAATAAAGATCCATGCCAAGATCCGGGGGAAGAATGTTTCAGGCAGAGGAAGCAGATGGTACAAAGGCTAGAGGGAAGAACAAACCTGACATGTCACAGAAATAGAAAGAAAGCCAGTGACTAGAGCACAGATGAGACTGAAGTGAGAGGCAGGGACCAGATCATACTGTGCAGCCTTGTAGGTCATGGTGAGGAGTATGGATTTTTTTTTTCTTCGAGTAATAAAAGTCATTGGAGGGTTTTGAAGTGGAATGTGACATAATCACACATAAGTTTTAGAAGAACCACCCTAGGTGCTATGGAAAGAATAGTCTGTAGGGGCCAAGAGAGAAAATGGACCCATTGTCAGTTATTGTATTAATCTGTAGAAATATGCTGGTCATAATGAAAGTGATGACAAGAATTGGTTATAGTCAGTGTACACTTGATTAGTTCTTCCTTTAAGACTTACTTATCGATTGAACTTGAGGTAATGAGGGAAATAAAGGAGGCAAGAATTTCTGGCATGTGCAACTAGGAGAATGGCAAGGCCATTTATAGACCTGTGAAAGGAACAAATCTGTGGAAGAAAATCAGGAATTCTCTTTGAACGAGTTAAAACAGACCTGCCTATTAGACACCCAAGTGGAGACCTGCCTATTAGACAGCCAGCTGGATACACGAGTCTGAAGGTAGGGATAGAGGTATAAGAGGGCAGTCATTAGCATATAGAATATATTTTAAGCCTTGGACCTAGATAATATCATATAGAGAGTGAACATACGTAACAGAAGGCAGCCAAGGACCAGGCCTTGGGAAACTCCAAAATCTAGAATTCAGGCAGAAGAGGAAAGCCAGCAAAGGAAACTGAGGAGTGGCCAGTGATTTAGGAGGCAAACCAAGAGTGTACAGTATCCTAGAGGCCAAGTAAAGAAAGAAACCATTTCAGGAAGAAAAGAGGGTGACTTAGTTTCTGGGGACAGATTTTTATTTTGATTGAGTGATTAATTGCATAGGTAATTAGGTAATATAGTAATAAGATTCAAAATCAAAAAGGCACAAAAGTTTATACCGTAAAACCTGTCTCCCACCCCTGTCCCTCATCTATCCTGGGTCTCTTCACAAAAGGCTACAAACTCTTCCAAAGAAATTCTATGCACATATAAGCAAATATGTTTGCTTTAATATTCTTCTTTAAAGACTTTTTAATGATGGCAGATTTGGATTAAGTTTGTATGTTGAAGAGAATGATCCATTAGTAATAAATTGGTGAAGTAGGAGAGAATAGAGGTGGTGTTTTTAATAATGTGGTATGCTCAGGGAAGTTCTCATATAGAATGTCCTCTATTCAACAAATATTGAGTACCCATTATATCTACTCCTTCTGGAAGAAATATACCAATAGAAACCAGTGTCCTAAGGAAACTTCGAGCATGGTGAAGAAATAGCCTAGTAAACAGACAGTTAAGCCCAAGCAGCCAGTGCCCTAATGGGGACATACTCTTCCTTCCTGTGAAGAAAGCACAGAGCTCTTAAGTCTGCTGACAGCCATAGAGGACATGTTCACAGAGGGAGAGAGGTGAGGAGCTGCCTGAGGGGAAAAGGGTGTGAAGGTGTGCAGGCAAACGTCACGTGAGGGCATACTACTTATGGCATATATTTGGCATAGCATTGTTACCTATACTTAAGGCACAGTAGAGAAGGGGAAAGGTGCCATAGATTTCTTGAAAGTTGAATTATAATGTAGAAGATCATGTTTATAATCTTGAGGTTTCATATTGTATCTGTCAAGCTACCTTGAGTAGAACTTGTTAAAAAAAAATGTAGCAGCAAAAAAAAATCTGGAGTATTTAATTGAGTGTTTAGGTATTTTCTTAAGTTTTAGAAGCACTGAAATAGTGTGAATTGAAATATCTCAAATATAGTTTGAGTCCTTTAAAATTATTTAACATAGAGTGAAACTCATACTTGCAAAAGTAACTTTATTTTCTTCATCTCTGTTGTTTGCCAATCACACATCATTTGTGCGTGTCACATATTATTCAGTATAAAATTTTAACAGAGAGTTATGTATTGGTTTCAAGGAACTGAAGGAGACATCCCAGATTTTGGCACCGTAGAATACTGGTTCCTATTACGAGTTCCCATGGATCAAGCAATTCGACTGTATCGAGAACGAGCAAAGGCTTTAGGATATGTAACATCAAATTTTAAGGGACCAGAGCACATGCAATGGGTAAGCTTGTTTAACTTTAAGACCCTTTTATCACATAGTTAGTCATAGAATTTAAGGTTGAGAGTATTCACCAAAAGCAGTCAGACATCCTACCACTTCAAAAACCAGTTTATATCTTCATATGTCAGTGTTTAAAAATCTCTAAACTATGTGTCTTCTCTTGCAGCCCAATTAAAGGATATTGCCTATGGAACCAAACAGTACAAATTTAAACCAGAAATCTTGCCAGATGACTCTGTGGATGAATTTGATGAAACCATTCACTTAGAACGAGGAGAAAACCTATTTGAAATCCATATCAACAAAGTAACCTTTTCTTCTGAAGTTTTACAGGCATCTGGAGATAAGGAACCCGTCACTTTCTGTACCTATGCTTTCTATGATTTTGAACTACAGACAACTCCCATAGTGCAGGGTCTTCACCCAGAATATAACTTCACTTCTCAATATCTTGTTCATGTTAATGACTTATTTTTACAATATATTCAGAAACATACTATCACTCTTGAGGTCCACCAAGCTTACAGCACAGACTATGAAACAATTGCAGCATGTCAATTGAGATTCCATGAAATTTTAGAAAAGAGTGGTCGAATATTTTCCACAGCAAGTTTGGTTGGTAAGTACATTCTTAAAAGCTTTGGATGTTTGAATTACTAATTTGGTTTGTATTTTAAATTGGTGTTCCACCTTAATATCTTCTCTCAGAGATTCAAGATGACTTTAGGGTAAGGACTGTGTTCTCTAATTTAGCTGCTCATAGTTGATGGGACCATGCTAAGTGTCATTGGTGATGTCAGTACAATGGTTATTAATTTTTTAAAAGCTTACAAGTGCTAATGACTATTTACCATATTGATACCCTTGTTTGATTAAATATTAATTGGTGTACATCCATTAAATATTTCTTAAGAGCTTTTCATGTTGTCATCACTGTTATGAAGTACTGGGAATACAAGTGGTCAGCAGTTAAGTCAAAGCCCCTGCCCTTGTGTAGCTTACCTTCTAGAAGGGAAAACAGGCCATAAAACAAATACACATATCATCAGATATGAAGAAAAATAATCAGAGCAAGAGGCCAAAGAGAGAGATGGAAGGTTACTAATTCAGATAAGGGCTTCTCTGAGTGGTAACATTGGTAAACACCTGAATAAAGATCCATGCCAAGATCCGGGGGAAGAATGTTTCAGGCAGAGGAAGCAGATGGTACAAAGGCTAGAGGGAAGAACAAACCTGACATGTCACAGAAATAGCAAGAAGGCCAGTGACTAGAGCACAGATGAGACTGAAGTGAGAGGCAGGGACCAGATCATACTGTGCAGCCTTGTAGGTCATGGTGAGGAGTATGGATTTTTTTTTTCTTCGAGTAATAAAAGTCATTGGAGGGTTTTGAAGTGGAATGTGACATAATCACACATAAGTTTTAGAAGAACCACCCTAGGTGCTGTGGAAAGAATAGTCTGTAGGGGCCAAGAGAGAAAATGGACCCATTGTCAGTTATTGTATTAATCTGTAGAAATATGCTGGTCATAATGAAAGTGATGACAAGAATTGGTTATAGTCAGTGTACACTTGATTAGTTCTTCCTTTAAGACTTACTTATCGATTGAACTTGAGGTAATGAGGGAAATAAAGGAGGCAAGAATTTCTGGCATGTGCAACTAGGAGAATGGCAAGGCCATTTATAGACCTGTGAAAGGAACAAATCTGTGGAAGAAAATCAGGAATTCTCTTTGAACGAGCTAAAACAGACCTGCCTATTAGACAGCCAGCTGGATACACGAGTCTGAAGGTAGGGATAGAGGTATAAGAGGGCAGTCATTAGCATATAGAATATATTTTAAGCCTTGGACCTAGATAATATCATATAGAGAGTGAACATACGTAACAGAAGGCAGCCAAGGACCAGGCCTTGGGAAACTCCAAAATCTAGAATTCAGGCAGAAGAGGAAAGCCAGCAAAGGAAACTGAGGAGTGGCCAGTGATTTAGGAGGCAAACCAAGAGTGTACAGTATCCTAGAGGCCAAGTAAAGAAAGAAACCATTTCAGGAAGAAAAGAGGGTGACTTAGTTTCTGGGGACAGATTTTTATTTTGATTGAGTGATTAATTGCATAGGTAATTAGGTAATATAGTAATAAGATTCAAAATCAAAAAGGCACAAAAGTTTATACCGTAAAACCTGTCTCCCACCCCTGTCCCTCATCTATCCTGGGTCTCTTCACAAAAGGCTACAAACTCTTCCAAAGAAATTCTATGCACATATAAGCAAATATGTTTGCTTTAATATTCTTCTTTAAAGACTTTTTAATGATGGCAGATTTGGATTAAGTTTGTATGTTGAAGAGAATGATCCATTAGTAATAAATTGGTGAAGTAGGAGAGAATAGAGGTGGTGTTTTTAATAATGTGGTATGCTCAGGGAAGTTCTCATATAGAATGTCCTCTATTCAACAAATATTGAGTACCCATTATATCTACTCCTTCTGGAAGAAATATACCAATAGAAACCAGTGTCCTAAGGAAACTTCGAGCATGGTGAAGAAATAGCCTAGTAAACAGACAGTTAAGCCCAAGCAGCCAGTGCCCTAATGGGGACATACTCTTCCTTCCTGTGAAGAAAGCACAGAGCTCTTAAGTCGGCTGGCAGCCATAGAGGACATGTTCACAGAGGGAGAGAGGTGAGGAGCTGCCTGAGGGGAAAAGGGTGTGAAGGTGTGCAGGCAAACGTCACGTGAGGGCATACTACTTATGGCATATATTTGGCATAGCATTGTTACCTATACTTAAGGCACAGTAGAGAAGGGGAAAGGTGCCATAGATTTCTTGAAAGTTGAATTATAATGTAGAAGATCATGTTTATAATCTTGAGGTTTCATATTGTATCTGTCAAGCTACCTTGAGTAGAACTTGTTAAAAAAAAATGTAGCAGCAAAAAAAAATCTGGAGTATTTAATTGAGTGTTTAGGTATTTTCTTAAGTTTTAGAAGCACTGAAATAGTGTGAATTGAAATATCTCAAATATAGTTTGAGTCCTTTAAAATTATTTAACATAGAGTGAAACTCATACTTGCAAAAGTAACTTTATTTTCTTCATCTCTGTTGTTTGCCAATCACACATCATTTGTGCGTGTCACATATTATTCAGTATAAAATTTTAACAGAGAGTTATGTATTGGTTTCAAGGAACTGAAGGAGACATCCCAGATTTTGGCACCGTAGAATACTGGTTCCAATTACGAGTTCCCATGGATCAAGCAATTCGACTGTATCGAGAACGAGCAAAGGCTTTAGGATATGTAACATCAAATTTTAAGGGACCAGAGCACATGCAATGGGTAAGCTTGTTTAACTTTAAGACCCTTTTATCACATAGAAATCTTACAATATTTCTTTATATGTCATGTTTTAAACTGAAATCTTCTTTTCACAACCATCAAGTGGCTTTTTTAACTTTGAATTTTGAAGTAATCATAGGCTTACAGGAAGTAGCAAAAATAGTTAGGAGAGGTCCTATATTCTCTTCACCCAGTGTCTCCCAATTGTAGCCTCTTACGTAACTACAGTACAGTATCAAAACCAGGAAATTGACATTGGTGCAATATTATTAACTAGGCTACAGACCTTATAGATTTTATCAGTTTTTATATGCACTCAATTATATCAGTTTGTGAAAAGGTGGAGAAACAGGAGTTCTGTGCAGTTTTATCGTGTATATATTCATGTAACTGCCACCACAATTAAGACAGAATTATTTCATCACCACAAAGAAACTCCCTTGTGCTACCCAGGACACTTTTGAAAATTAAGATTTTCCATACTGTTATCACTCATCAAGTCATTTTTGTTACAATTTCTGAAATACAAAGTAGAATACAAAATGAATATTCTCTTTTACTGAGAATTGCAAGTTTAAATGCAATTCTTCAGAGCAGCATTTCCCAAACTATGTTTCATAGAATCGTACTGGCCATAATTCCAAAAGAATTCTATGATCTAGTGAATGCAGAAAGCACTGAATTGAACAAAATTAAATAGGATCTTTGATTTTAAAACTTCTCATGTATAACGTGACTCTCAAAAGGAAGCATAAAGTATACACTTACACTGAGTAATGGAAGGACAGAAAATAGTAGAAACATTTTGGAATGTCTGTTAAGTCATGATATCTTTTTTTCATTTGGACTTCCCTCATTCCCAGTCCATGGGGCTGGGCCCCCAGTGGCCAGCTTTACATATGGTGATCCTGTTCCCTCTCACTCACCACACAATTATAACTAATGATTTAAGAATAAGCCAATGAGATTCTACTTTCTGAGATCAAAAGAAAGCAAGACTCTCCTTGCCTGCTACAGGTAAAATTGGGAGATGTGGGGCAGCCATCTTCTACCATGTTAATCAGCAAAGGAAAGAAAGTGGGTCTGGAGAGAGACAATAATTAACAAGCAAACGATTAACAAGAGAAAAATGGAAAATGGTTTGAGAGTAAATTGTGGTGGTTTTCCAATCCTATTGCCTTATATTAAAGTCTTCTGTGTTATATTTGCTAGAAGGCATTCCTTTTTATAACTTTCAATTCAAGAACCATGACTAATATAATATCAACTCTGAAACTTAAGAATGCCACTTGCTTCCCAGAAATTATCTTTCTGGTCTAATATTCTTTATAGCATACTTTGGGAAATGCTGTTATGAAAAGGAAATTAGAAATAGACTACACTGTTTACTTAGTTTTGTAATTGAATGGTTTTTAGACTCCCATTTTAAGGCTTGAATGAGTTGTTTGTTGAAAATTCAGTTTTTATGGATAGATTTGGGTTGAGAAGTGGAGGGAGTACTTTCAAATCATTCCATTCATCATCCTATACCTGGATGCAATGGGAGAGCAGTATTTTGACTTCCTTCTCAGATTTCCCCTCTCCACACCACCAGATGGCTCCACAAAGGTTCTATTTGTCCTTCTCCATTTAAACTTCTGTAGACTCAGAGGTCTCATATTCTCAATCCAGATGCAGTAATGCAGTAAAAGAGGGGTCCACTCTGTAGAAAGTTGAGAATTTTCCACCACTAAACTAAACACACTGAAACACTTCCGTTTGTTTGTCCCAGATCACATCAGCTATAGTAGTCCTAAAACAGTTAATCAGTGCAATTGTTTGCCAAAATACTTGTGTACTGACTACCTGAGTAATGGTTTCAAAATGGAACCATAGAGCTTCTAGCTCTGCCTAATAACTCCTTTCACCATTTCTCTTATGATATGTCTTCCCAATCCTAATTTTTTATCCCCCACCCAAGGTGTGTGTGTGTGAGTAGTAGTAGTAAATCAAGTTCTGACATTTTTCTTATAGCATTTGGACTTTGATATATTGGCTAATCTTGGCCTCAGTATCTGCTTCCCCAAACACCATTGGTTCAGGATGAGGGTCAACCCAAATAAAACAAAATCATTTCTCTGGGTGAACCCTCTCAAACTGATTGGAGTCTTAATTAAGAATGGGATATGACCAGAAGAGCTGGAATGGTAGAAGGATTAGCTCTTAATAAAATTGTGAACTAGAGGGCTTGCGTCTTTGGACCCATCTGCTCACTTTACTTGTTAGTTATTAAATGGAATTAAAGAACATCAAATTAACTTTTTCTTGGTTTTATTTTGTTTTAATAGCAATCTCTACATGTATGCTCAGTCTTCTATGTTTGTTGATAATAGCATAAGATTGCCTGTTCACCATTTTTCTAGGGAATATTGGTTTTGAGTAAGAATCAAAAGTCTTTTACAGAGGAATTCACTATGAAGTGAAAATATGCAGCTTTTTGTCCATTTATAAATTATTTTGTTTGGGGGTTAGCAGCTGCTATTTATCCTTTCATTGCATTATTACTATAATATAAATATGTATATTTTTCCAGTTAAGTCAGCAAGCACCCAAAACTGCTCAGCGCAGTTCTGCTGATTCCACAGACGACAACTTAAATGAACTTCACGTTACAGTAAGATGTTGCAACCACCTGCAGTCCCGAGCAAGCCACCTTCAGCCACACCCATATGTTGTGTACAAGTTTTTTGATTTTGCAGACCATGATACAGCCATCATTCCCAATAGCAATGATCCACAGTTCGACGATCATATGTGTTTCCCAGTGCCAATGAATATGGATTTGGACCAATACCTTAAGTCAGAGTCCCTGAGTTTTTATGTGTTTGATGATAGTGATACCCAGGAGAATATTTACATAGGAAAAGTCAATGTGCCTCTCATTTCATTGGCACATGACAGGTGTATCTCAGGTAAGCCTCTTTCTTGAATCTATGAAATTGTAAATATAAATCTAAATTATATCACAGTGTTAAGTATGATCTGTTTACAAGTAATCTTCCCAATTTTCTCATATAATCTTAAACTTTGAGCCTATAATATTTTTTAAGTTACTTTTTCAGTAGTTCTTCTAGGGATTATGGTATGCAACTTACATTATCACAGTCTATTTAAAATTAATTCTAACAACTACATTAAAATATAGAACATCTACTCCAGTTACCTCCCCCTCCTTTGTGCTGGTATCATATATATTTATACAGAATGCTAAGTATATTATGAACTGAACAATACAGTGTTGTGACTATTGTTTTATATAACCTTATGTCCTTTAAAGAAATTAAGAGAAAGGAGAATATACATAATTATAGGAGACATATACATCGATGTATGTGTTTGCCATTTCTAGTATTCCTTATTTCTTCCTATGGGTTTGAGTTACTATCTGGTATCATTTCCCTACTCCAGTATAGCTCCATTTCCTCCCCTCCTTTGTGCTATTGTTACATCTATTTTTATGTATATCATAAGCCCAACAATTGTACAAGTTTTTTGTGTAATTGTATTTCAAATCAGGTAAGAAAAGAAATGACAATATATATTTATACTGTCTTTTATAATTATAATTATATATGTAATTGCCTTTATCACTCTGTTCCTTTGTGCGGATTTGAGTTCCCATTTGGTGTCACTTCCTTTCAGCCAGTAAAACTTTAATATGTCTTGTAAGTCAGGTCTTCTGGTAATGAATTCTCTCAGTTATTGTTGTCTAGGAATGTATTTTGCTTTTTGCTTTTATTTTTTGAAGAAGAGCCTTTCTGAATATAATATTCTTGGTTGACAGTTATTTTTTCCTTTTGAGTACATCAGACAATTGACTTCTGGCATCTGTTGTTTTTATTGAGAAACCAGCTGTTAATTTTATGGTTCCCTTGTACTTGGTACTCTTTTCAAGATTTCCTATTTTTTTGGCTTTCAGCAGTTAGACTATCATGTGTAGGTGTGCTTACCCTACTTGGAATTTGTTGAGCTTCTTTGTATGTAGAGTACTGTTACTGCATCAAATTTTTCTTCAGTTATTTTTTCTATCCCTTTTTTCTTCCTATTCTTAGACTCCCATTGCATGTATGTTAGTATGTTTTATGGTGTCTCTCAGGTCTCTAAGGCTTTGTTCATTCATTTTTCTCTTCGGATTGGATAATATCTATTGATCAGTCTTCAACTTCACTTGTTCTTTCTTCTGCTGGTTCAGATCCCTCCACTGAATTTTTTCATTTCAGTAATTTCACTTTTCAACTCCTAGAATTTTTATTTAGTTCCCCCCTTTTTTTTTTTTTTTACAATTTCTATCTCTTTTTTTATAATCTCTATTTTATAAGTCATTGTCACCACACTTTCTGTTAGTTCTTTAAATATGGTTTCTTTTAGTTCTTTGAACATAGTTATAATAGCTGCTTTGAGGTATTTATTAGATAAATCTTACCATGTTGACACACTCCACAAGTGCCTATTGATGGCTTTTTTCTTATGTATACAACACACCCTCCTTTTTATTTCTCTGTATGTTTTATGATTTTTGTTTTTGTTTTTAACATGGAACACTTAGGATACTGTATTGTAGCAACTCTGGATTCCGACCCTCCCCTACTCCACAGGGTAGTTCTGTTGCTGGTTTCGTTTGGAGACTTGCCTGGACTAATTTGGTAGTCTTTTTCCCTACAGCCACTGATGTCTCTGATAAGTCTGTGTTTGTGTATTTGTTTAGTGTTAGGCCTAGGTCAGCATAGTTTAGTGGTCAGCCAATGATTGGTCAAAAGTGATACTTAAACACCTGGAGCTGGCAGGCTTCTAGCCTTTGCCTGTGGTCAGTGTACAGCTTGGGTAATGCATTCAAAATTTGGCAGTCTGTAAGTCTCACATTCAGCCAAGCCAAGGACAAGTGGCTTATTAGAGTCTGTTCTTTTATTGTTCCTACTGATGTTCAGTAGATTTTCTTGAATAAATGCTTCTCTATTTGTTGTATACCTCTGTTCAGTTTCCAGAGCCCTTAAATGATTGGGTTTTTTTAAATCATTATGTCTAGTTTTATTGTTCCTTTTTGTGGAAGGGATTTACTGAGTTCTTCACTCAGCCATTCTGGGAGTCTCACCTTTGCCTGTAATACAAGTTTATCACCTTCCTATGTTCACCAATATCCTTTTCTATCCAAAATCTGTAGAGTTGTTTCGATTTTTCTTTCCCAGCCAGCCACTAAAAGACATGTCAAACAAGTGAGCATAAAGTAAAGGATATCCCTAAACAAAAGTTACGCTTGAAATATTGGTTTGTTTTTTCAAGTCAGGGATGTTTCATACTGAAAAATCTAGTGTAATAGTTAAAATCTGTGACTCAGTAGTACAGATTCAGCTAGGTGATAACCTTTTGTTACTAATAAGTGTTTTTTATTTTATGGATTTTTTGGGGTTCTACCAGTAAGTTGGAGAAATTGAACAAATCCCAGTTAAATATATTTTAAATTATAATAGAATTATATAAGACTCCTTTAGATATATAAATTATTTGAAATGTTAAAGGTTTAATATATTTTTCTATAGAGACAAGTGTTTTGCAAGAATATTCAAGTCCAAATGAAGGTTGATATTTGAACTATAACCCAGATAGTATCTTAGAGGAAGGCTAAGAATTCTGAGTAATCTCTGAATTTAATTTCAGTGAATTAAAATATTTATAAGATGGTTTTTCTCATTTTGAATCAATCATCGTTGAGACCATAACTTCTTAGTGCAATCTGCTTGAGAGGTGAACCTGTCATAGATCCTTTTGTCTTTATTTTATTCTCTGAGTCATTAAAAGCCAAAGTTATTTATAAAGCTATGAGTAATTGTCTTTGTTCTTCTTGAAATCTTATGAAAATAAAACTTCATTCTAGCACTAATTAAAATTGTTTTGATAAATTGGCAGGAATATTTGAGTTAACAGATCATAAAAAGCATCCTGCAGGAACCATCCATGTTATATTGAAATGGAAATTTGCTTACCTTCCACCAAGTGGATCCATAACAACTGAAGACTTAGGAAATTTCATACGCAAAGAAGAGTCAGAAGTTGTTCAGAGACTACCTCCAGCATCCTCTGTTAGCACATTAGTTGTAGTGAGTAATAGTGACTTTGAATTTCCTATAAAACTTAAGAAATAGCCCCCCTAAAAAAATGCATGAAGCCTTAAGTGTATGTTCATCATATTTAGTTTGATATATTGATTTATCTTAGGCACCAACACCTAAACCAAGACAGCGTTTAACACCTGTAGATAAGAAGGTGTCTTTTGTGGATATTACACCACATCAGAATTCTGTAAGTAGTAAACTCAAAATACTGATTTTTTTTCCCATAACAAATTCTTGAAATAAACTATATAGTATATGGTAGTATACCTTACCTGATTTAACATGGGAAAAGGTGAATAAAAAACTTCTTTTTCCTTTAAAATGTGAACTTATAATTTAGCAGTGTGTAAGAGTTGACTCTTTTAAATGCTCCTCTGGTCGCCTTTGTCTCTCTAACTCCTGCTCTAATCCTGCTCTAATCCTCTACTCCCATTTATTTAAAAAAACTCTTCAAAATGGTGTCATAATTCTGTCTCCCTTTCCTCATACATTTTCTTGAACTCACTCCAGTCAAACTTTATCCTCATTAAAACCACTCTTGCCAAGGTTACCATATCCAGGAGTCAATTCTCAGTCCCCATCTTCATCTCCCAGTAACATCTGATACCGTGGCATCTTCCCTTGGCCTCTGGGATACTGTGCTTCCTTGTTCTCCTCCTGCTTTTTCAGCTACTCTTTCACTCTCCTGGACCCAATCTCTAAATGTTGAAGAGTCTCAGCAGTCAAACTTCAGACCTAGACCTCTTCTCTTCTCAATCTGTATATGTTAAGAGATTCTGTCCAATCTCCTAGTTTTAAAAAGTATCTATATGCTGACACTTCCATGTTTATTACCTTCAATCTTGATCTTGCTGCCATAATTACCACTCTGTAACCAAAAGAGTGTTTTATTTGCATTAAAATTTAATTGTAAGGAAATAGAAGTCTAACTAGTTATTAACAGATATTTTGGTTGGGTAATGGATTTGTATTATCTTTTATATTCTTAATGCTTATGTTATATGCTCTAAATGTCTAATAGGAATCTGAACTTAACATGTGAAAAACCAAATTGGATTTCACCAGCACTTTTCCAAAATGTTTCTCTTTTTCATTGTTTCCCATTCTCAGTAAATGACATAACCATTCACCCAATTGCATGGTCATGAAATTTTAGAGGCACCCCTTTGACATCTTCTTTTTCTCACATCCTACATCCAATTCATCTATAACCCTGTCAGCTGTACTTTCAAAATATATCCTGTATTTCCAACATCTCCACTGTTACCACTCCAGTCACCATCATCATTTGTAGACTTTTAAAAAATCTTTCTTTGGAATTGAGATATAACTTATGTAAAGGACACAAATCAAGTACACAGCTTAGTGAATTTTCACGTATGTACAGACATGTGTAATCACCACCCAGATGAAAATATACTCTCTCCCCAGGTCTTAAATAATACCTGGAATATACAGTGCATTGAATATATATGTGTTAAACAGATGAATTCAATAATAATTATTTAGCAGTCTTTAATAGCTAGCATTTATTGAGTACTTATTATGTGTCAGACTGTGAACTGCATGCTTTTATCCACTGAACTTGTTTAACCCTCATGACAACCTTATGTTCATACTAGAATAGTCTCATTTAAAAATTAGGGAAGTAATGTTTAGAGATTAAGTCATTTTCTTAAGGTCACACAGTATTAGATACGGGATTTGCACACAGGTAGCCTGATTCCTAAGTAAGTGATTGTTAATATAAAAAAGACACACAGAAATAAGCAAGGTAGAGAAAGACAAATACCATATGATTTCAGTTATATGTGGAATCTAAAATCAAAACAAAACAAATGAACAAAATACCAATAGATTCATAGACAATGAGAAGTGACTGGTGGTTACCATGGGGTAAGAGTTGGGATATGTGGGTGAAATAGATGAAGTGGATAAACAGGCCAAAAAATCCCTATCATAATGTAAATTAATCATTGGGATGAAAATACAGCATAGAGAATATAGTCAATGATTCTGTAACATCAATGTTGGCAGGTAAAAAGTACACTAGTCGAGATGAACATTTAATAATGTAGATAACTGTTGAATCACTGTTATATACTTGAAACCAATATATCATTGTATATCAAGTATAATTTTTAAAAAGACAGATGTTTGTTGTAATATTAGTCATTATACCTAAAAATCATGAACTTGTTAAATGTCTAACACTAGTAAAATGGCTCATTAAATTCTGATACAGCCACTTATTGTAATATTTATGTTGTCATTAAAAATGATGTATATGCAAAGTTTCCTATAGGAGCAAATTTTACATTAAAATATTAAGGTTTTTTTAATGTAACATGATATATTATATTTACAATACAATTACCACTATGTAACTTATTTGCATTAAAATTTAACTGTAAGGAAATAGAAATCTAACTAGTTATTAATGGATATTTTGGCTGGGTAATGAGAATATGGATTTGTATTATCTTTTATGTCTTTTAGCTTATCTTTCACATTTTCTTTCATGTTGCATATATGTTTAAAGTACAACTGTGTATATTCTAGAACTAGCTTTTTTACTCAGCCTTTTATTGTGAACTCTCTTCAGTATCAGTGAGTACAAATCTACATTTTTTTTGCCATGCTGACACAGAACTCAGGTGTTTGGATGTACCATATTTTATTTAACTAATACTGTACTGTTGGAAATTTGCATTGTTATTTTATTTTGATTATAAACAATACCTCAATAAACTACACTTATAGGTTTTAAATTGCATAATATATACACCATGAAGAATATTAACCATTTTACCGAAATGCACTAAATTCCATGTCAAATGGGTAGCTACTATATTTGCTTCTAATTTTCAGTAGCATATGTGTATATGTGCATAGATGATAGATGTAGAAGTGTTAGGATGATTTGTAATTTAGTAATAAATACAAAATAATGTATATACATGTTTTCACATTAATATAAGGAGACATCTACTCTTTCTGAAGATAGAAAAGAAATTTCACCAGAAGTGGAGCATACATCAGAAATAGAAATGAAAATGCCAGCTGTTGCACATATTCTCCAGGTATATATTTGTATTAAAATTATTTTGAAAGGTTTAATTTGCTTCTTAAAGACTTTATATTAGCATGGATCAGGAAATCATTACACTGATCCTATTTTTATATATGACTTCCTGGGAATAGAATGGTCAAAAATATAACAGGTGTAACAACTGCAATTATGCTGTTAACAAGTAATAAATAATATGTGAATTTAAGTATTAATGTAAAATTCACTTTTATGTTAATGTAATTTCATTCTTATAGTCAGATTTTCATTTATCTGCATATTTTCATTTGTACAATTTTAGTGATGATTTTCTAATCATTTATATATATTACCTCTTTTGTATATTTAAGCCTCAAGTTTACATGCCTTATTATTCAAGTGCTTCTGCAAGAATGCTATAAATGTGACCTAAGCAATAACATGTAAGTGTACTTTTATTTTTTCAGGATTCCCAAGGAAGCACTATAGATAAAGTAAAAGAGAATACTGAGAAAATGCAGCAAAGAAAAAAAGGTGATGTGCCTTTACAATCTGAGGATCAGCTTGCAGAACAAAGTTTGACTTCTGAAGATGGAACAGAAATAACTGAGGAATTAGAACCAGAAGGTAATTTTCTTTTTTAAATTAATATTCTTTACTTAAGTCCTTTTTTTTTTTTTAATCTGTCAGAGTATGCCTCAGAACATTGTCACTTAATAGTGGGTCTACTTCATGATACCTATTTCTTGATAGAAAGGATTGGTTGTAGTTCAGTCTAGTCAGATATGTACAAGTGAAATTATTACATATCTCCTTATTTCAATTTAGAGTGCTACAACAGAATGAATATAAGTATTCTCTTGCCATGTTCCAAATTGATATTTTAAATGGCTTTCTAATCTCTTTGGGTTCAGTAGCATCATCTGGACTATTCTAGAGGACTTGACTTTTTAAAAATTAAAACAAAGAACTCAGAAAAAAATACAATTTATGACATGATTTAATTTATATAAATGTCTAGAAAGGCAAACTACTCTATAGTGACAGAAAGCATTAAATTGATGACCTGGAGAAGGACAGATGAGAACAGAGATGCAGAAGGGAAGAGATTAGAAGAGGGAATAAGAAAATTTTTGGAAGTGGTCGATATGTCCACTATCTTAATTGTGGCAATAGTTTTATGAAATAGTATGTGGTTAGTCCTTGAAAAATACAGGGATTAGGGGCTCTGACCCCAACAGAGTTGAAAATAGTGTATAACTTTTGACTCTTCAAAAACTTAGTTACTAAATAGCCTATTGACCAGAAAGAAGCCTTTCCAATAACAAACAGTTGCTTAATACATATTTTATATGCTATTTGTACAATATAGTAAGCTAGAGACAAAAAAATGTTTTTTCAAATTGGCATAAATCTCAAAAAAAATGTCCAATATGTTTGTTGAAAAAATCCACATATAAGTGGACCCACACAGTCCAAACCCGTGTTATTCAAGGGTCAGCTGTGTATGTCAGAATACAAAATTTTGCACTTTAAATGTGTGTAGTTTATTTGTTTCAATTTTGCCACAATAAGGCCATAAAACTTTTTTTAAAGTTTTTAAATAGTATAACTTGATTTTTCCATAATATTATTGGTTAAACTGTTAGGAATCATCTATTACCTTGTCCTCTCTTTTAAAAAATTATTTTTAATTTTATACTAGAATAAGTTATATTTTTATTTCCTTTGTTTCTACTGAAACTAACCTTGGAATTTTCAGTCAATTTTTTTCTCTTTTCTAAAATATAATGTAAATATCTTTGCTGCTAAGAAAGGTCCAAACATGATTATCATCTTGTTCTTTTATGTCCTTATAGTGTATACTTATTTCTCTCCATTTCACAAGGTACAAATATACTTGGCTTAACATGTTTGAAGCACTAAAATTTTATTTTTTGTAACAGATGAAGAAGACAAATCAGCTTCTGACAGTGATGAGTGTATTGTTCCATATCCTATCTCCAAGAATATCAAACAGGTCAGTAACTTAATGTCAACTAGAAATGTTCTAGAAATAAAGTTGCTTTTTCACTCATAGTATATTAATCTTCATATACGAGAACCTTAATGCAAAAATATTTCTGGAAAATTTTGAATGTACTACCATAATCTAATACAAGTAATCATCTACTATAAGAAATTTTTATTTAGTTTCATTATGTGATGAGCCATACATATAAGGATTATTTTTGCTTCCATGTTGAACACCTGACATCAGGAGCTTCAGTAGTTACTTGCCAACACCAGTTGACGTTCCTGACTCCTTTTCAGAACCATTGTACAAAGATGGGTAAAATCAAATCTGAACTTTCAAGAATCAAAATGTGAGTTTGCATTTAAAACTATAATAACAGGAGAAGCCAAGATGGGGGCGTGAGTAGGGTAGTGGAAATCTCCTCCAAAAACCATATTTATTTTTGAAAATACAACAAATACAACTATTCCTAAAAGAGAGACCGGAGGATATAGAAGTACAACAGCCAGGCTACATGTACATCTGTGAGAACTTGGCATCTCATGAAGGGGGTAATATACAAACCATGGCCAGGCGGGACCCAAGCGCTCCCCCAACCCCAGCTCACCAGCGGGAGGACAGGAGTCGGATCGGGGAGGGAGTGGAAGCGCAGGACTGCTAAATACCCAGCCCTAGTCATCCACACTGGGAGCGCAGACACACAGTACGTGGTGAGCTGGATATCAGGGCAACGGAAAAGTAAAATCTGCAAGTGGGTTGCCCACAGCCAGCTCCCCTGGGACAAAAGAAAAGCGAGTGCTTTTTGAAAGTCTTAAAGGGACAGGAGCTTCACAGCTGGACAGAATCATCCCAACACACTCAGCCCAGCAGGCTGGGAATTTTGACGAGCTTCAGACGCCCCAGCCCCCTGGGGAGGCAGAGCAGCTCTGAAGCTCATCACAGCAATAAACAGCCTGCCATTCATTCCCCCTCTGGCGCAGCCCCGCTACAGCGGCTGAACAGGCTGAGAGTGGCTGCACGTACAGCAGCCACCAAGAGTCTCGTCCCGGCGTGCAGCCAGCCATGCCAGACCTGGGGCCGCCGATGGCGCACAGCTACCCAGCGCAGGTAGAGGAAGCCGGAACAGGGTGCAAAGGGACGCCATTCTCATGAGGGAGCACAACAGACGTGCCTGCCTCTCCCCTGAGGGCTCTGGGCCACACCACCAGCAGTAGCTCAGGGGATTAACCCAGACACTACTCTGGTGTGAGGGCGACCAACACAGGCAGCAGAGAAGGGCAGGGCGACCAGCAAGCAGGAAGTGACTTTGTTCTCCCAGCTGACACAAGCAACAACTGCCTACGACTACCTCTATCACCATGAAAAGGCAGAAGAATTTGGTAGAGTACAGTATTACCCAGACGACCCCCGAGAGAGGACCACAGGAGACAGGTATAACCAATCGTCCTGAAAAAGAATTCAAAATAAAGGTCATAACCATGCTGATGGACCTGCAGAGAAATATGCAAGAGCTGAAGGATCAAGTTATGAGGGAGAATATAGAAATAAAACAATCTCTGGAAGGACTTAAAAGCAGACTGGATGAGGTGCAAGGGACTGTTAATGAAATAGAAATCAGAGAACAGGAATACAGAGAAACTGAGGCAGAGAGAGATAAAAGGATCTCCAGGAATGAAGGAATATTAAGAGAACTGTGTGACCAAACGGAACAATATTAGCATTATAGGGGTACCAGAAGAAGAAGGGAGAGAAAAAGGGATAGAAAGTGTCCTTGAAGAAATAAATGCTGAAAACGTCCCAAAACTGGTGGAGGAAAGAGTCTCTCAGACCATGGAAGCCCACAGATCTCCCAATAGAAGGGACCCAAGGAGGACAACACCAAGACATACAATAATTGAAATGGCAAAGATCAAAGATAAGGATAGAGTATTAAAGGCAGCCAGAGAGAGAAAAAAAGTCACCT